TGAAGAAATTCATTAGTTGATCAATCAACAGTATCTTGAGGAAAAAGTTTATGCATAAAATAAAGAAGATCACTAAAAAAGGGAAAATTTTCAACATATTCACTTAACCCTCTATTATCTGCACCCACATTTAAAACACGTCTGACAGCAACCTGATTAGTTCAACTCCTTCCAAAAGATCAATTTATAACTCTTTTAAAAGCATTTTTGATTTTGTCAGCTTCAGCAGCAGTAAACCTTTTATCAATAATTTTAAAAAGTTTATCCTCATCCAAATTTTTTAAAATTTTGCAGAATTGCTGAGGAAAATCACGAGATACATAAAGTGGATGAGTTCAAGGCTCACTAGAAACACCAGTTCTTACCACAGCTTTTGGATTAGTTATTTCAAATGTGGAGCTTGCCACCCTTCTCGTGATTTTAACTATTTCATCAAGAATTTTTCTACCACCCCTTCCTGGGGTTTGAAGATCAATTTTTAAATCAGTAACAATTTGGCTCACTAAAGTCTTATAATGTTCTTCCTTTTCCACTAAATTAGGTGCAACCTTTGCCCTAAGTCCAGCAATTTCTTTTTCTTTTTTAGCCCTTTCATCCAAATAAATTTCCAATTCTGCTTTTTTTGATTCAATATCAAGTAAATATTTATAATCAGATTCATAAAATAAAACATCTTCAAATTGACTAACAACTTTATCAATTGGTTTATTATTACCAATTTCATTAACCAATTGATAAGGAACAGAGTTAGTTCTTTGTTCTGCTAATAAAGATTTAAATAGAGAGCATCCATCAGGAGTTAAACCCATTGTTTCAGTTTTTACTTTATCTTTGGATTGTTTTCAATTATCAAGTACTTCAGCAGTGTGTTGAAGTAAAGTTTTATCCAAAGTACCATTTGGTTTTAAAAGATTACTCTCAAAGATAGCCTTTTCTTCTGGTTTAAGGACTCCATAATAATTGGAATATCCTTTTGCTTCATCTATTGTATTTATATCATTTTTATTGAATGTCATGATTTTAATTTCTTTTTTTATCATGTGACAACTGATCTATGAAAATGGTGCATTCGCAAAAATAGATGATCATCAGAAAATCGTCTTCAAAGAAATTGGGCCATTTTTATGGTAATCATCCCCATTTCACATATACCCCAAAATCCAAGCGACCAATAGTAATGCAATAGACTTTATTTAACTTCCTGGCGGTCTCGGACAAGTTATATCCTTATAAGGATCGTTGACAAACCTTCTTACTTCATTATAGAGATATGTTTGTCTTGTAAGTGAAATAGGTTGTAAATCTAGAGCCTTTGGTAGTATATAAGGATCAAATATAGCATTTTTTTAAATAAATCGATAATTGTAAATTCTCCATTAGCAGTTTCCTGGCAGAAGACTTTGCCAAGTTCAGTGGACCTGAACGAGAAATGATGGTAATGTCTAATGTTGGGGACTCTTTTAAAGTAAGGAGTAAAATAATTGACGAAATCAAAATATTTCCACTCATGATCTTTGTAACGGACTGCATTATTGCCATGGGCAGACATTCTAGTTACTTCAGCAACATCATCAACAGTATTAGTATTTATCACTGACTTTTTGTAATAGGCTTTCAAAAACCCAAACCCTCTTTTACAGAACAGAGGGAACAGGTAAAACAGCGACCATGAAAAATATTTGTGTTCATGCTAATTGCTATCCTTTGGTAGAAATCAAGGGTTCTAACTTAACTCCCACTGAATCAGGGAAGAAGGTTGGTTCTAACATTGAAGCAAACTGTATACCACTAACTCTCCAAGTGTTAAAACTTCTCATTAACACTAGGATAAGATAACCGAATGAGTGGAAAGAATGGATAAAAATGGTAGAACCTATTTAATTCTACGATTAGAAAGAAATATCTATCACAAATAAATTTAGTGTGCCTGGGTATCATGAAATTAAGTTCAACAGTGTCAAACATACCAATCAGTACCAACCAACAGTAGAAGGCAATAGTAGTGTTATTCTTATTTTGCCCTCCACAGTTGTCACAGTTGAGGTTCTTCTCACCTCTGTTATGTCCAATAAGTGTGTCATAGGCCAAACTTAGAGTTGTATTCACACCCTTTGCTACTCCCACAGGGAACTCCCCTTCATCTACAAGGTAATTTATTTGGTGAGATTGAGGCTGATTACCAGTGTCATTAATTCTGAAGATACTGACTGAGTGCACACTCTTAAAGTACAAAGGACCGATTTGTTGTGGAGAATACGGTACTGGAACACTCTGCACCCAATCGTAACAAAAATGAGCAATATAAATAGCTAGCATTATCCATATTTTAGAAACATGACTGAGTTATACACTTTTCTCAAAACAGCTTGAAGAGACATCATAAAACTCTTACCATCAACAGTATTTGGGGTAGGTCTTTCTTTACTAGCAAGTGGTGAATGATGTTTTGAGGTCTTTATTGGCACACATGGGGTGACCCCTGATTTTCTGTGTTGTTACTACCAACTAGACTTGGCCATACTGGCTCTTACATATATAAATAAATAAATATAATAATACATATATGTCTTATCATAATTCTATATCATATATGATATCCTACTATATTAGTCTACCTATAATTAACTCTAGAGAACCTGGGCATCAGAGGAGGAAACTAGCGACTAGTAAAAACCTAAACTGTACTTCTCCTTTAGTCTCTATTGGGATTGAGTGAACAATCCCAAGAATTATGCACACTACTTTCGCAAAATTCACAGTATATTGACACTACCACTTCCCCAGCATCAATACACTCTGTTTGTTCATTTCTCCATGGTTTCCCCAACTTTCTTCTGGACTCCTTCCACTGCTCCAAGAAAGGCTGAAAGTGGGGATGGCGCAAGACCCTATCTCTGTCTATTCCACCAAAGGAGCGCTTCAGCATAGTGCACCATCAAGTGGTGAATGAATATTAATATTAGTATGGGAAGTGTTTTCTTTTGCTTTTTTAATGTTATCATTGTAATATTCGCATTCAAGTTTAGCGATTCTTGTATGACTAGCATATTCAACTAGTAACTCTTCTTTATCTTCAGACCTATTGGTATGACCAATTTTCCATCTTAATGTTTTGCAAACATTGCATAAATCTGACTTGGGAGTCATAAACTTGATATGAGGGGTGAGCGATTTCCACAAATGAACAAAGGAGGACTGACTGATTTGATCATTATTTTTGTTCATCGATTTCATAGCTTGTTCGTATTTATGGAAAACGGAAGTATAGTTTTCAACTGTAGGTAAATAAATCAATGCCTGATCATCCTTTTCTAGATGGCTACCGGGTCTTGGAAGCCCATTGATCTCAGCATAATTAAGGATAAAGATGAAACTTCTTTGGCATTATCGTGAGTAATGGTTACTTTACTCGATCGCTGAGGCAGGCGTTTAATGTTACCATGTACTCTCATTGTTGGTCCATATTCCTCTAGTTGTCGCTCAATCGCATCAAGTTTATTTCTACCAACCCCTACCAGTTTTAGATAGTATTATTCCTATCACCTTTGAGTAAACGCAATGTACCCAGCAGACTATTAATTATTGCAGGATCCTTGCCGACCAGATATGAGGCCTCATCAATAAAGAGAATCATTGGCAGGATGACCTCCGCCGCAGAAAGAAACTCTCGAACGTGTGTGAAGTTACACGCAATTGTTCGTCAAAGGCAAACAAAGTTGGATTCAAGACACGCAGTTTTTTGCATATGGACATCCAGAACGCATCGACTCCATTATCAATATCAATCCCAGCATCGAATGAAATAATATAGGTGCCAGGTGTGGTCCGTCCGAAGCCAGCCATGTCCACTGTCAAGGTGTGGAGATATCGTTGCACTGCATATATCACCGTTGACTTTCCACTTTGGCGATGTCCGTGCATAAGGCAGAGCTCGCCCTGGAGAAGCAAATATGACAGCTTTTTCACTAAGGGGGGTTCAACGTAAAAGTTTACTTCTGGATAGGCTTCGTTGGCAGGCGAGAAAATGCGACGAACTAAAGAAAGAAAATTAGTGCAGATTGGCAAGATAGAACAAAATTATGCTTGCGCAAATCAGGATCTTTGTAAACATACTTTTAGCTGGGGGCATGTCCAGGTCTGAAGAAGAGCGCGAACGTCTCACACCTGGTCAGTAATGGAAACAATCATTATCCAATGGTTACTACTATAGCATGGAATACAAAAAACACACAATAACCTACTCTGCCCTATTTACACACTACTCTATGTCCCCAACGCCGAGTCACAAAGTCGTTACCTGTTTGAGTTGTGAAAGCACGTAACGCTTCTCCCCACGCCTTTACTTCCCCTCTCCAAAACTCCTTATCGTCTTCATTCACAGCAGAATCCAACCTCCTCTTCGCGTCTTCTGGTTCTTGACGTCTTCGATGGTTGCCATTTCGTAAGTTTGATGGGAAGGTGTGCCGCGCGATGTGATCTAATATACCAACGCCAAATCAGTGGCTTAATCAATGACGTAATTAGGAACTCCACAAGTTATTTTATAGACAAGCACCATTATTACTCTCAAAATGTTATTGTCAAATTAGTTAACTATCAGCCACATTAGCCTCACATTTATGTCACATAACAGAATGTTCACTTTGTCTGGTTTTGTTGCAGTCTGCCCCATATTATTAACGTCGAGAATTCCACCATTTGAAATATTTACAGTATACTTGAAAGCGAAACAATTTCAAGCTCTCGATCTGTCTATACTTCAGTAGCGTTAGTATGCACGAAAGCTACTTTAATATTCCATGGTATTAAAGATTGTATTCTGGATTCGTCTTTGTTAAAGTTAAATTTCACTATATTTCTTTTTCTTGTATTGTTTTATGCAGCCAAAACTAATTTATTCTAACGCAAGACTGCCACGGACAATATATTTTTGCATTCTCTCCATTGTAAGCTCAAATATACCCTCTTCGGCCAATGATATTTGAGTGATTTATTATGAGATAATCTGCAGGGATGACCGAATTAAAGAGTCTGTTTTTGTTACCTCAATGTCAAAATTAAAGCAGCTTCCACAATTGACACTTGCATTACTGAAACCTGACATAGTAGTCAATCCAACGATAAGAAATCAGATACTGCACAAAATACAATCACACCCTCATTCGTTTACAATAGTTGAACAGAAGGACATTCTCTGGAAACTTGCACAGGCCAAAGCATTCTATAAAGCCCATGAGGGTAGATTCTTTTTTGAGCGCCTGTGCGGATTCATGACAAGGTATTCCGAGTTGCAAGAAAACATGAAATCTGCCAATAGTAAAGGCTTGTATTCCTAAGGCAATCGGGTCAATTAATGTGACTCTGTGATGTTAAGCGGCAAGTTTACCGCATTAATACTTGCTAGAGAAGATGCAATCCATTATTGGCGTCAGTTGATTGGTCCAACACATCCATGCAGGTAAATTATAGCATCGAAGCAAAATTGTCAGTTAACACAAGTGGAATAAAAAAATTGCCATTTATCATCAAAGAGCACGCGTAGTAGCTCCCGGTACCCTGCGTGCAACTTATGGCCTGACTGATACGAGAAACTCCTTCCATGGATCCGGTAAGCGCCAGACGTCTCTTTTTAATGACATGTTCGATAAATGATTATACCATAACAAGGCAATTGAACAGATTCGGACGATACAGCAAAACGCGAAATTAAATTATTTTTCCCAGACTTTGATATTGATGAATGGAGAAGAAATCAGAACTCGTGAATACAACTGCTTTATGTATTTAATATTTATCGTAATCATCGATCTTTCTTAATTGTTTTTTGGGGGGAATGCAGTCTTCACCAGTTCCTTCTTATTAACTTTTCCCATGGCGTTCCGAGGTAACGCGTCGTCATATAGTTTTAGTAAAGTAGGTAATTTGTAACTTGCCAGTCTATCTTTAGCAAATTCTCGCAAAGCGTTCAAAGTAATCGCGGTTTCCTGATTTGGGAATTTGCATTAGATAAAAGTAAGGCAATATAACAAGGATAATGAATATGCCTTACGCTGTGTTTGGGTACGACGACTGCTCCGACTCTCTGTCCCCATTCGGCATCTTCGACGCCAACGATAGCAACGTCTGCTATGTCTGGATGTGCCAATAATTCTCTCTCAATTTCCAAAGCCGATATTTTATATCCTCCTGACTGAAATAACAAAGATTGATAATCTTTTGGAAATAATTCGCGTACTTGAATGAAATGTGGGAAAATTTAAATACCTTGATAATATCAACGCTTTTTCTCCCAAGGATTCTATACATTTTTGTACTGGGCTCTCTAATGGCTGTATCGCCGGTTTTGAACCTAAACAGGAATTCATTCACTTTTTCTAAAAGTTTAGGATCAAGTCCGTCAAAAAAAAAAAAAGATTTAGCCATACCACCCATCTTCAGTGAATTCTTTTGCTGTAGCCTCCGGGCGATTCCAGTATCTTTCGACGAGTGAAATGACAATATGGTTACATTTTATCAGGTATAGAGCCTCTGCATGACCACCTTGTTCAGATAACACTCACTCTTTAAATACATTCGGTCCCTTGACTTGCACTTCTCCGGGTGTATCTACTTCTTCAGTTACATTGGTGCCGTCATCGGCAATCAGCCGAACCTTCACACCGGGGAGAGGCAATCCGACAGTCCCCTATCAATTAAAATTAAATTCTGTGTAATAATAACACCGGCTAGAACAAGACTAGTCTCTCGTAATACCTCGACGCGTTTTTCTACTTCATATCCATTACTTAACGCCATGCCAATCTCGCTCATTCCGTACCGTTCCAATAATACTTGCCCTCCACTAATTTGTTTCCATTCGTTTCTCAGAGGTACAGGAAGCGAGGCTGAACCAGAAATCATCACTCGGAATTGAGAGCATGATTCGGTAGCAATCAATTGTGCATCAGGTGGGAGGGATGTCTTGTAGAATTGGATGAGTTTTGCTATTTAAAATAAAACAGTAAGTGATGGTATGATCAAAGCAATGTGGAAATGCAAGAGGAATATTCATGAATAATGTACAGTAGATGGTAGGGACGGCCATGAAGAGGGTGAGATCTCGTGTAGATGATGTCCATCGTCGCCATACATACATAGCATCGAATTTGGAAAGCATTTCTACTGTTGCGCCGGCATATAATGCACATATCAGTGCCTACACAGGATAAGAACGCGTATTTGAGACTGTATATGCATTTTGATCAAGTAGACATGTCATCATGAAATAAAATTTCCCCATAACCGTAAGTATTTTCACAACTAACGTTCAAAATTCCCTAAACAGTGAAAATAGCAGTTATTTAATGGTTACTTAATGGTGGCGTAACAAGTTCTCAGAACTGCAGAGATAGTCTAATTCTTACGTGCAAATGATGTAATGGCAACACATGTAGAATCTTATCTTTGTCACTCCACTTCCACGCGTTTATCAAGCTTTGTGCCTGAGCTTCTATATTTGCATGAGAAAGAACAACCCCCTTTGGTCTTCCTAATTATCAACTTTTTTCAGCATCAATTAATTAAATGTTGCTTATTTATACAATTCATTCTTCCTGGTAGATTACCTGTGGTACCGCTCGTATATATAATAAGTGCGCGACGTGATGTAGCCATCGGATATAATCTAGGCATCTGAAATATACAAGGTTGAGAGTCTAACTTTGATGTAAATTATCCCATGGCTAACGCACCTCGAATTCTCGATTTTCTTTGTATTGTTCCTGTGGTCCAGCATAAACTATTTTATCAAATTGACCTGAAATGCTGCTTGTCATATGTTCTAATTGTGGGTGTACTAAAACCAACGACGATTGAGAATCCTTGATTGCATATTCCAGCTCAGTTGGCGGATGGGTTATACCTAATGCATAGAATCGATGTGAGTAATTACACTGTGCCTAATCTCATTTTCCTCGGATTCCCGACTCAACTTACATAATGGCACTGCAATACCACCAGCAGCCCAAACAGCACACTGTGCGACGACATAATCATATCCATTAGGATATAGATAGGCCACTCTCATCTCTTTCGAATCGTTCACCTCTCCTTTCGACAATAGTAAACCACGTAATTGAATGACATTTTTAATAATATCTCTATAGGTGTATGATCCATTCATGTCAACGATTGCTGGTTTTGTGGGGGGTTGAGTTTGAGCATAGGAAAGTATTTTCTGAAAGAATGGGAGATTAGGAAGGGCTATGCGTTTTTGTTAGAGAATGTTCGAAAGACATACATGTACAGTTACTAAATGTAATTAACTATAAACTCGATATATGGTTTACCTATGTCTGTAGCAAAGGTTCTTCTCAGAAGCCGCGTAATTGGGAATCGAGACTTTCTTGTGAGTCGTACGCAGAGCATATCTCCAACAAGTTATCGTTCAAGTCGAAAGAGTCGATTGATCTACACAAAACGATCAGCTGTTGGAAATGTCAATCCCGTTGGATGATGAATAATTAAATTGATATTCTGTTAGGCGAGCATTTCTATCATTGTCATAGCGATAAGCCGACAATATCTCTAGATTAGCTTCCCGGTTCAGTGAATTATTCAGCAGCAATAATTGTAAACACTGGATGATCGACAACAATGTTCGAGTTACTTCTTCGATGTGTTAAGATAAATCGTTATGTTTGCGCTACTTCCATACACTAGAGATAATAGTAGGCATTAGCTTTATTAGCCTTTATGTTAGTCTACGGTTATCACGCTCGCCACGAATACAACCATTATGTTACGAGCCGACGGACAGACTCGCTCCGGTTATGATACCATTAACACTCACTTTCAACACAGCAAACTTTAATTCTTGTTCTTAATGAACGTAATACTTCTTGCGAACAGTATCATTCTTATTTCAGTACTTAAACATGATCCTCCTTGGCGAACATGATGTGTTTATAACGAAGCTCTCATTATTTCTCGTAGCGAAAGTCTTACAGTAAACCCAGATTTCGTAATGCTACATTTACTTAACAACATGCTCTTTCTTCACGAATAGAAGGCTTTTAAAGGTTTTGAGTTTAGCATTTATTATCCTTTCGTTCGATTAAACTATTTATAATATTTTTTTAGATCTTGTAAAAATCGATCCTGTCCCCCAAGGCCAAATACCAGTCCGTGTGAGGGTAGGCTTTGTACAAGCTAACAAAGTTTTACTAAAATTTCGTTTGTGCATTAAATCAGTGTACCCCAAATAAAAACCATCGCATATTCAAAAAGCGTGCTATTTTGTAAAATCAGAGTTAGTAAACAGTCAGTTAAAACAACGACATAAGAAATCTGAAACGGACCTTCTCGTATAAGGAGATATATTAGCTCCGGCACTTCTTTTGTTGACGAATGCCCGCCCACATAACTGCCTAGAACGGTTTTATTTCTGTTCTGTCGATGTTGACAACTGTGATGGAGGTGAAGAGATTATATCGAACGCTTACAGGTAATCGGTCAATTTCTTCTCTCGTTTCTGTAAAAAAAAATATTTTAGTGTGACTGAATATAATTTCAAAAACTATGATTATTATTATATACTTTACCTTCAGGCATGGTACTGATTCAGTTCTGCCTTATTCGGCAGATTGACTTCTTTTACAAAGATGCTGGCAGTTAACGACTTGACAACGTCCTCTTGCAACTGATCCATATGAGAATCACCCAACTTTGTCAGGTCTAGCACCCCAGAAGCTAGTGGATCAGTGGGATGAATGGTATTTTTCCAGAAGCATTCTCGCTGCTTTATACACAATTCTATCCTCTTTGCTGCAAGAAGTTTCCACTTCTTTCTAGAAGATTTATTATCATCATTTTAGTACAATTTATTAATATCAAGTCAAAACTGTCAGCTGACATTTTACTTACGCATCGACTAATAATGTCATCTACGTTCTCCTTTATTAAGAGCTTATTCTGCTCTTGTTCATTATCTGAGCGCTAACATATAAATAGAGTTATGCTTCAGTCAATTAATTGATAACAATAATAATAAATGCAACCAATACACTTATACTTGATTGAAGCCTCACCTCCTTCTTCAATATTTGAAAATATATAGATTCCTAAAATAGCCAGATTATTAATTTTGGTTATTAAAATGTTATACAATAATAAGAGTATTTCAAAATGTGTCTTCAAAATCAGACCAGCGATAATCAAATCAGAGTCATTCGTATTTATTATTTTATTATAAGCTCCATGCCATTGACTACCGACGGGGTACTCGAGGCATAGCCCGTAGCAGCTTAACGCAAAAGCACCTCAGGATGCCAAGCGCACGACGATGGAACCGTACAACTAATCCTTTGATGTCTACAGAGCCGGCACTTTTTGTCCCATAGACTAAGACCTCGCACGACGACGCCCGGATCAGCGTACTGACATGGGCCCATGTCATAACCAACAATTTAACTACCGCATTTCGCATCACCATTAATAATTCAAATAATTGTTAATCGCAATACTCACTATTTTTATTGTACCGAATTTCTTCCGCACATTTGCCAACTTCGCACTATGTCGTTTATTCCCCACACAGTCGTTCATAGCAGCGGATAATTCGGTCAAATATGCTGCGGTCGCAGTTTTTGTCGTCACATTCGTTTTTGTGAATGATAGTATTCTGGCAAGATATGCATACTCCAACCAATATTTTGAGTGAATGGTGAGTAGTGCTTGCTTTACTATTACTATTACACCAAGCCACATTCTCTCCTTATTATTACTTTGAAGTATTATATTCTCCCCCCCGAATCGCTTCATTCTCTATCTGCATCTGTAGTAATTTGTGTGTTTCCAAGATAGTTATAATTAGATATTTATTTCAGAACAAGAGTCAAAAATTTTTGTTTGAACATTTTCTTCAACTCAGGACAAAGATCGTTTTTATAATGAATTCTAACTACCGCAGTATAATTAATCCAATAAAAATACATGCCCCATCACGTGCGTCTTAAAATACTTGATATCGTAAATTGCAGAATTGACATTGCGACGAAACATGCGTTTATACTACGCCTTCTTTTGCCTAATAGTCATAGTTGCATCTACTTGCATTCCTCCCTTGTCAGAGACGCCCGAGGATGCCGCACGTATAGCTCGACGCCTGGTACGTGACACTACGATCGGTACTCTAGTAACTACAATGAACTCCGAAGACCGGGAGGGACTCGGAGGTAGAGCAAGCGTAATGAATGCAATTGAATGACCAAGTTGATTGTGCTGGTTGAGACTGAAATTAGGCTTTAATTAAGGATATCCATTTGGATTGATGGATTATTATACCGATGAATGTCCATCGAGTGGGAATTTATTGTTACTCCTGACACCTTTGCAGGTGAGGAACCTAGTAAAATATCATCGGTTATTGACAGTGCAAAGTGTTGATCTAAATATTATCTTATATCATTCACTCCAAGCTGAACCTCCGTAATACGAGATCGAACGACTGGAAAGCTTCATTCACCATTCGACAGCTTGGTAACAATACGTTTAATCCCGTTGAGAAACCACGTGTGAACTTGTTTGGCTCCATTGAAAAGGTTCCAGAATCCGAGGTAACTTGCAGATGACGTTTCTGTAGATATTACAAAACGGTCGTCGTGGTTAGAAATAAGGAATGAAGGATAATTCAATTATTCAAATACAAGTAGGAAAATGTTGTTATGAAACTAAAATGATTTATGCGTGTTGGGAACAGGTAACGAACGTACAAGAATGTTTCTTGAAAGCTCACAAGGATGCAATTTATTGGTATGTTTATCGATTGGACGATTAAGAGAGATCAGGTTTATCGGAATAGAAAAGCGCGTAGAACGATGCAGATAGATCACTGAACCCCTTAATTTGCTTCGCCCTCATTTTGAAAAGAACGTGTAGGGGCAAAACCACTGGAATCGCAATTAATTCATTACTCGTTATTTGCTTATTCTTTACTTTCATAGGATACCTGGCAGATCGCATGATTTTTCTTTCTACCGGTTCGTTGTCAAAGATATCTACTATGTCGGTGGTTTTGGAGGGTAAGAATGTTACAAAAACGTTTATTTCTTCTCGTACGCGTTGCTCACGCTATCGCATGTCGTTCTTGTTATCGCAGACTACATTATATCGGATGGGTTGATAAAGATCTATACTTCGACGCAAACCTCCATGAGAATTTGAATAGCAACACAAAGTCCAGTTTCAGTTTGATAAAAGAGGATTAAGTATCCAAGTTTAGGACCGAGGACATTGAAGATCACCTGTAATAAGTAGACATTGATTAACCATGAGAAAGCCGTAGAAACATGCCGAGTTGGGGAAAAAGCAACGGAATGACGCTTGAGCACCTTAATAGTTTATGTAACTCTTGGCATATCTCTCGTCTCGGATAATGAATTGACTGACAAAATAGTAATACTTTTGTGCAAAATAAATTCCGAAATAAATACTGTGGCGTTCATTATGATAATATCACCCATATCAGAACCGCAAAATTTTCCATAACTTCACATCAGAGACAACAATAACAATAGCAATATTCTTAATCGGAAACAATCAAAATCAATTTGTCCTTTACCCAATGTTTCTTCTTCAAGTTCTTCTTCTCTTCCTGTTGCCGTTTGCTAGATAATTGGATATTGGTAATTTTTACTTTCCGACCAACTTTTTTTTTTTTTTTTTTTTCATATTTAGAGCCTTGCCAAAGCTGTTGCATCCTGAAATAAACTCGATTTTTCTTGTTGTTGGTCCATTTTTGTTGGCCTTAAGACACCAACTAGTGCTTTACGGGTCCCATATATGACTGAGAATGCGACCATGCAGGAAGTGGAATAGGATCGTAACAAGCGAAGAGATGAAAGGACCACACTAGTACGAGGCGTCAGCCTGATCAGATTTCTAGTGGCGATGAAATGCGATAAATGTTAGTATATTGTTAAGATCCAAAGCGTAATTGTTATTGTTATTGTTGTATCAGTGTGACTACTTTGGGGGGGAAAAGGCTGGCGCACATTATTTATTGGCGATCATTTACTTGTGACGTCATGTCTTTTCACTGCGCCATCGCGTTCATAGTGGACTTTACTATTGTTTGCTGCTATCGTCTTATTTTTTTGGGGGAGAGTTTTTCTCATAATAATTGATTGCTCTCTTCTAACATAGCAATAACTTCTCAATTAATTCATAATTTCAATATATCATATTAGCATATTTAGGAGTTATTATTATATGATGTCCAATTGTAAAGTGCACATTTTCGGACTAGCTGTATCGACAATTGTTATTCTAATTGTATAAGTACACAAGACTGTTAACAGAAAATACAGAAGCTATACAATTGCGTATTACTGTATGTCGCGAGATTGATAATAATCGTCATTATACTGAGTCATCTTATTTGGGATTATTATTATTATATCACGAGTGATTATTAACATCACTGATGTGTTTTACTCAAAAGAATCTATACTTGTTGGTTGTCTGAATATAAATTAAGCAAGCAAGATGTAATAATAATAATACTGGCGACTATTAAATTGTTGGTTAGACAATCGTATCAGTGATGCAGATGGTTTAATTGCGTGGCTTATCGGACTTTTTAACCAGTGAAAAATATTTTTCTGTGTGTTTTTACGCTGATTCTATTGTTCTTATTTACGGAAACAATCGTGACAGTCGCAATATAATTAATGATGTCTTATACGAAGCAATATATTGATAACGACATTTATACTTATAAGGTTATATTCAAGTACCAATATATGTTATCTTCCCATCTAACACGCAAACACGCGTCTACTCACACATATATACCCAGACCTTCTCTCCATTGCACATGTATCGCCTCACAACAACCTCTCCTCCTCCAAAGCGCAAATACAATGTTATCGAAAAGTTAATATACAACGAACAATGCCTTTACTGCTACTTCATATCCCGCACATACGACACTTTGCTCACGAACAAGTATTCATAACGATACGGTTTATCAACCACGTAACCGATACACATATATATCCAAACGCTACTCTCCATTACACAATGTTATCTAAAAGTTGAACATACAAATTTTTGCCGCCACTCAAAGCGGTGCGGAGGAAATAAAGAAAGGAATTAGCTCGAGAATAGACGTAATTTGGTGATAGGTAGATGGATGGATAAATAATCGTTCACTAGCAGACTATTGCTTTTTACGGAGCACTCTTCAGATATATCTTTTTTTTTACACAGCTTTTAGATGACGGGTAGAGATTTTGGGTAGTAGGTATCGCATTGCTTTACGTATATAAACCAACTCTATTTTTTTTTTTATCTTTTTCTTTCTCTCCCCCTTTTTCTCTACACTGACGGTTCGCTGCGAACGGATCCAATGGGACACTTGGTGGAGTGGAGCGAGTTTGGGGGTGCTTACTTAATAATACTCAATACAAAGACGTTGAAAAATGCGTGATTTCTTAGCTGCTTGTGAAGGATCTGTCCCTAAAGCTGGTAGAGATGGAAGGTGAGTTTGCTGCTTGGCATGCCGGTTTGGAAGCAATAGTTATTCGATTGTTTATCAACCATGTAATATTAACATTAATTGATATTAAGAGCAATAGTAGTAATAATACATTTTATAATATTAATTAATAAAACAAAAATTATAATAGAGAATAAGAAAAGAAAAAAGCGATTAAGACAAAAAAAGTTGAAAGTATTATTGCTTTACAGACATAATCGTAATACAGAGAAATGACTTGTAATTAAATTCAACTTGCACTTAAAAATGTATTGAATTTAGCAGTCTCTTGTTTGTTAAAAGCTAAGCACGACGCTATCTCTAGACACTGTTTATTTCGACTCTACTTTTCTAACTTACATGGAAGGCTAATTACGTTAATATATTCTGCTATCGATGAGCTTAACGTATAATTACCAGCCTAAACAGTCGTTCTTGCTTGACACATTATGCCTACGCAAAGTTCTGACTTTACTATTAGACGGTAGATTAATAAGTTTGAAAGTGGAGAAGAAAATATTGAAGAAAAACCACGTTCAGGAAGGCCTAATGAAGCTGTAAGTCAAAGAAATATTGATTTAATTGAAGAAGCTGTCAATGAAAACCCTTATGTATTGCTATAATAGTGGTTCTAGAGGGCAAACCTGTGAATGGAGAATTCTATGGCCAAATGGTTTTAAAAAATGGGAAATAGAAAAACAGTGCAAAATGTCATGATAATGCACTGCCACATAAGCATAAGTTAGTCAATAGGCTGTTACAACAGGAGCAAGTAAAACTGCTTCCTTATAGTCCGGATTTGTCCCTGTGACTTTTTCTTATTTCCAAGACTAAAAAAAGAGCTGCAGAAAGGAGTTCTAATGAGGTAAATAGTCTTGCACGTGGTGTTCAGGCAGTGGTTGACAGCATCCCAAAAGAGAACTATTACAAATCCTTTGGAAGAGACGGCTAAAAATTTGTATCGAGGTTCAAAGAAACTATTATGAAGGACTTGTGTGATTTATTTGTAAATTATTATGTACATTTTTGAATAAATATTAGACGATCAAAACTTTTCGATTGAACGGCCTAGATTGTCTTAATGTTCCACCCCCTTGTTCTATAAAACAAATAAAAATTAATAGTGTACCTTTTACCAATCTATTGATGCTGACTTGTAAAATACCTTTGAAGTAGAACTATCCTCCACTATACTCCATTTCTTCCTCTTCCTCTTCTTCGCTCGACAATAACTCGAGCAAGTCATCCAACGTCTGCATAATACGCTGGAGCCTCAACTCGAGGGTCTCCTGCGTGTGCCTCGGCCGTCGCGGGTTTTGGAGCCTCTCCGCAAACTCGCACGTAATACTGGTACGCCTGCAATTATCGCAGGGCTTAATTCCCGTGCACTTGATTTTTTTCTTTTGGCATGATATGCATACCATGAGCGCTTTGCTTTTTCGTGCGGGATATGGGGTCGACGTGTTTGGAGTGTTAGAGGACATGTTGATTTTTTTTGTTTGTTTTAATTCACGCCCGTCCTTTTTATGCACATGCGTCGGTAAGGCAAATGATAAAATTAGCGTAACAACCCATTGATAAATAGAAAATACGCAAGAAAAGCCCTTTTTTTAGAATGGACGGTATAACTAGGAGGAAAGAAAATATTTTTGATACGAGAGCACAAATTTTAAGTTTGTTGATTCCGTGCGGTGGAAACCGAAAGTTTATGAAATGATTGGTGCGTCCAAAAATTGGGGGCTGCCGTACAAAAGCCCGGTTCCAGAATTTTTGATCAAAATAGAAAACTTGGATATTTTTACGCGATTACCGATAACTGAACAAAGAATTCGTCTTTCTATTGTTCCTGGCTAGTATTGAGAGCACATAACGTTACATTTGAGCAGCCTTTTATCAAATATACTGCTGAAAGAATATTTGATTTATGAATTCAATTTGCCCTGTATAATGAACATGTAAATATAAAAGCATTCAATCGTTTTCTAAGTGGTTATAGTTAAGTTTATGATTACTTTAATAATTATAATATTAACAGAAGTGTGGCATATTGTTTCTATCTTTTAGCTACAGAGTTTTATGAGTAATAATAGACTTTGAGAATGCAATATATTTTTTCGTTCAGGTGTTGTAGAATCAACTTAGGTGTTAATAATAAACAACTAACAACAAATGCTACAAATTGTACATAAAACAAATTGTGAGTTAATGCTTATTCATATTATTACTATCTATAGAAACAAAAAAGTGGCCATAACCGAAGCTTGTCTATTAATTTGTTCTATGTCATTGTATAATAACTCTTTATCTATTTTCTGTCCTAGAATATGTGTAGTAAGCAAATATTGCATAACAGCAATGACAAACAGCAAAATTACTGCGATTGTTTTTTGTATATTGCAACAAATTAGTGTATGAGTGTGAATTTTTAGAATCGGACGGTAGACTAACTCGGAGAAAGATATGAGAGCACAAATTTTAAGTTTGTTGATTCCGTGTGGCTGTTCTGTTTGAGAACCGAAATGATTGGGCATCCAAAATTTGGGGCTGGCGTACAAAAGCCTGGTTCCAGAATTTTTGAAACCATTTTCATGTTAAATAATGTTGCCGATAACTGAACAAAGAATTCGTCTTTCTATTATTTCCGACTAGTATTGAGAGCACATAACGTTACATTTGATTCAGCCTTTTATCAAAATATACTACAGAAAGAATATTTGATTCCCTGTAATAATGAACACGTAAATGTAAAGGCATTTCTAATTGGTTATAATTAAGCTTGTGATTGCTTTATTAATTAAAAATAAACGACAGGATGTGTGGCATAGCCATGACCGAAGCTGTCTATTAATTTGTTCTATCATTCAATTAGTGTTTAATGTGTCTAACGTTAATTTCAATAAATTTCTTTGTATAATAACTCTTTATCTAATTTCTGTCCTAGAAAGTGTGTAGTAAGTAAATGTCGCATAACAACAATGACAACCAGCAAAATGACTAATTATTTTTGTATATTGTAACGCATCTTCACGGATAATTCAATTTCGCCGAGCTCGACATACTACTACACCTTACACGCTTGGAAATAAGACTTTGCATCTAACCCTCAAAATAAATGATCGACACTTATGAGCAAGTAATAGAAACATTTGTATTAAAATAAGAGACGGAGAATGTGCGAATTGTGCCACTCAACCATTAATGAACGAAAACGTATAGTGTTATAGGCGCCTGTTGATATCGAAGAAAAATGTTGATACAACACGAAGGCGTGACTAGTTAATTATCTTGGAGATGTTCGATCACGGTTAATACACGTGACTTTATTAAATTATTAAACGAAATGGCTCATGGCAAATATTAAAACGAGATCCTGTTTGTTCTTGGGCTCGACTACTTGGGGAGGAGTTTTTTATTATGACATCGAAAATACGTAGTAACTGCGTAGGATAACACCTACTTGTCCAGAGGACAGCTGACGAAGAGGGGACGAGAACTTACAAAAATAAAAGAATAATGATTTCGCATGTTTCATATTGAATAACGGTTTTGCTAAAACCGAGGGTGTGATCGGTTAATTAACCGAATACTCTGGTTAATCACAAAAACGCGTATTCTTCGATTCAATCATTACATTACATTCATACTCACATCATTTCCTCCAATCTTTCCCAATCTTTACGTAAACCCTTTTTAACTTGTAATCACAGGCATGTGAGGGAAACTCGCAGCTCAGTTCATAAATCGTCTTCAACAAATTCATATAACGAACTATCCTTCATATGACTTTCCGCACCCGGTTGGCCTGATGTCATTGCAATGAAAATGTTGCCGCCTCGGAGAATGCTATGAATACTTGATGACTAAATGACTAAGTAATGGTTTGAGTCAGAAATTACTTTCATCGTCCTTAGCGTGTTACCTCTGCTTATTCTTTCCTTGAATGATACATCTCCTTTCATCGGGACAAAGGCTTGGATTGCCATGCGGGTTTCTGGTCTCGGTCTCCCGATGTTACCTTATAGCCTCGCTTTTGTTCTTCTCTTCCTTCCGTCAATCCTTTCGATATTCTATCTGACTTGTTTTCAAAATAATACACATATTTTTGCTTTCTTACTCTTTCCACTCTTCTCTAATACCACCCACTCACATCACATAAACTTTCACTTAAAAAAAAAACCAACATTTTTCCTTGTTCTCTTCACCGACGAAAACAAAAAGTCTCACTTTTCGTAAATTTTAATGTCGTTGTTAGATACGAAAACAATAATCTTAAGTTTTTTTGAAATTAAGTTTCATTGTCTTGATGATAATTTATCGAAACACGTCCGTATTACGGAAGCTAGAATTATCTTTCATTGCATCAGTATGTGATTTGTATTCCATAATTGTATCTGGAGGTAAATTTAGAACACGTTTCATAGTGTCTCTGTTTGCGGATAGAAATAAACGTGTTTAGAAGATTGAGGACAATCGGAAGCCGGTTAGAAAAAATGGAATTGTGAATTACCTTATCTTTAAATTAATTCGTCCTTCTCGAGCAGACTGATTCCACAAAGATAGAATATCTTCTGAACTGCGAATTGACAGAACTGCCCCGCAGATTTCTGTTCCTACGTCGAATTGGTCGCCAATAACTGCCATTACCTGTGAGAAAGAAGAGGGTGTGGGAATGATATGGAATGAGAGAATGTCAAAGAGATCGTAGCAAATTACATAAAAATATAAAAAAGCAAGATGTCTTCTTTTTGTGAATCGAGTACAAACCAGACTTTCCCAGTATCGACTGGCTAAACCCTTCCGTAGTCTGACAATCCACTTGCCACCATTAATGTTTGTAACATCCTACACGAATAAAAATGTATCAATATGCGGCCAAGACCAACTCTACCATTCCCTTCTCGTCAACGTCAATATTTCTTTCCGTACCTCCCATACAGGTCTTACGCCCTGTTTGAAGAGATGATAATCACTAATGTTTGGCAACCCGTGGGGTCGCCGAAGATGACTATAAACTGCCCAGAAGTCTTCTATCTATAAAGAAAGAAAGGTGTCGAATGAGATAAAGCCATATATAATATAATTGAGGTAAGTGTTCAAGACGTGTTTGATTTGTGCGAAAAAAAAAAAGTATTTGCGGACTTTATGATGGCACCTACATTAGCACTACAGGATAGAGCACAACTATACAATAAAGTGCTTCATCATTTTTTCACACTAAAATGACATAATTTTTAAAAACAAACATCTCGTCTTTCGGACTTTCCCACTTCCCCAAGAATACGCTTATCTATCTTTTATATTGCCCACATTTTCCTTTTTTCAATTTTTTTTTTCTTTTTTTTTTCATATTACCCCCTTTTTCTCCCACTAATTTACCACATCCAGTACAAACTCAACTCATTCTTAATAACAAATCACAAATTCTCCGTACCGAAGAAAACGCAGCAATCTTCTTCATGCTCTGCTCATAATTCGTAATTTTACTCCCAGGCGCACGATGCATGAACCAAAAAACCCAGGTGAAATGCAGTGGATGGATCTCACTAGTCGGACTCGGTATATACTGCTGTCTACTTAATGCAACGACACCATTACTTCCATTAATTGTTCCGTCTTTCCTTAAACCTTCCCTACTTCCAATCCCCACCCCCATCGCCGTTCCAATGTTTCCTATCCCTCCCACACTAGCTCCAGATTCTTTTTTATCTTTCTCTTTGCTCTCCTCCACAATGCTCCCACGACTTTTGGAGAGATAGCCAGAGGCAGAAGCTACAAGAGGCGTCGTTGGTGAAAGGAGGACCGAAGATATCGAGGATGTGCCATTGGGAGAGGAGGTGCGTTGGAGTTGGATGAGTTTGGTGGATGTCGCCGAAGACGAGGAAGTGGATGATGAATTGGATGAGGTAGATGAGGACATGGTGGATGTGGGATGGGTTAAAGATGTGAAGTGCTCGGGTGTTGCAACGCTTGAACGATTGCTGGTGTCGGCGATTTGTTTTCGTATATTGATAGGTGTAGGCAGATAGAGAAAGAGAGGGAGAGGGGAGAGGAGAGAGGAGAAAAGATATGAGTAAGTATGAGTGACAAGTCGTAAATATTGGGTGATCGTGTGGAGTGGGTGTTGGATATTAATGCGGTTTGGTTTCACACAATTACCGATCTCGCATACGAATTACCTTCGAATCCATTCATACACCTTTTCCCTACAACTCTTCTCCCTCTATACTTCTATACCTTTCCCTCAGTACTACCTTCCGCCTTCGCCGTCTTCAGTTTTTCATTGCACTACCTTACCTATACGCTCACACTTTTTCTCCCCCAGACAAATTTCGCTAACAAGATTCCTAATTGCAATCTTACCATTTTCAATCAAACCCCAGTGCCGACCTCCTCTTTGTTTTTTTCTCTCTCTCACCCACTATTAGCTTCTCTACCTATGTCTCACCTGCGCTTTGCCCAGACAGAGTCCATTACGTTGTTTTGTGATGATAGTTTTCTATATTTGCGAGTTACAACGGGTAGCAGATTAAGTAATAAAAATGTTTAGATGTAATATGAAAAATGGATATTTGAGAGCGAATACTAAGATTTGAGTAGTGAAATGAAAATAGCTGAAATGTTTTAGAACGAAAGGGGAGATGCGTTTTTAAAAAGTGATCTATGTCGATGAATATGATGTCAAAATTTGTATTAGAGTATAAGTTATCAGGTGAAACAAGGAGCGGGGAACTAGATGGAATTATTGAGTAGTAATATGCGTATAAGAGTAGTATAGTGCACTATATGGGTAGTAGGTAGCTAAAGGCCTGGAAAAAAAAGGGTACTGAATGCAAAAAGAGAAAAACCGTCATTGAAGTGGGTTAAAATATGATTGGACAATAACGATTTCGTGACATAACTTTGTTACACGTATTGAAGAATGCTATCCAAGAAAGAGTTACTGCTATTATTGCTATTATTGCGCCCACAGTTTTTTGCATATTAATATGTAAATTACCGGTAATTGAAACGTGACTTTATGATAAATTATGCACATATTATATTTATTGCTCTTTGTATCTTTTGTATCTAAACATACTTGGACCCTTTAAGAAACACCCCCTTTTTGCAGTAGAAATTAAATTAACATAGATAACCACGTGCGTATTACGCGTATGAACCTTTACTCATTTCTACTTGTATGCGCAACAACTGTCGTGTTGTTTAAGATTAACATTACAGTGCAGAAAACTAAATAATGACAATGCCCTATATCCCTTCCCCTACTCATACTGACAACTGCCCCCAGCACTCTCCCAGGGCTTCTCTTCGGAGGGTCCCCCTCCGAGCTGGTGACATATGCAGCCTGGTTCTATAAAATAAATAAAAATTAATAGTGTATCTTTTACCAATTTTATTGATGCTGACTTGTAAAATACCTTCGGAAGTAGAAATTTCTTCCTCTTCCTCTTCGCTCGATAATGACTCGAGCAAGTCATTTATCGTCTGTGTGATGTGCTGGAGCCTTAACTCAAGGGTCTCCTGCGTGTGCCTTGGCCGTCGCGGTTTTTGGGGCCTCTTCGCGAACTCGCACGTGCTACGGGTACGCCTGCAATTATCGCAGGGCTTAATTCCCGTGCACTTTGTTTTTCTCTTCTGGCATGATACGCATGCCATGGGCACTTTGCTTCTTTGATATGGGGTCGAAGTATCTCTTGGAGTGTTAGAGGACATGTTGAATTTTTTTTTTGTTTGTTTTAATTCACGCCCGTCCTTTTTATGCACATGCGTCGGTAAGGCAAATGATAAAATTAGCGTAACAACCCATTGATAAATAGAAAATACGCAAGAAAAGCCCTTTTTTTAGAATGGACGGTATAACTAGGAGGAAAGAAAATATTTTTGATACGAGAGCACAAATTTTAAGTTTGTTGATTCCGTGCGGTGGAAACCGAAAGTTTATGAAATGATTGGTGCGTCCAAAAATTGGGGGCTGCCGTACAAAAGCCCGGTTCCAGAATTTTTGATCAAAATAGAAAACTTGGATATTTTTACGCGATTACCGATAACTGAACAAAGAATTCGTCTTTCTATTGTTCCTGGCTAGTATTGAGAGCACATAACGTTACATTTGAGCAGCCTTTTATCAAATATACTGCTGAAAGAATATTTGATTTATGAATTCAATTTGCCCTGTATAATGAACATGTAAATATAAAAGCATTCAATCGTTTTCTAAGTGGTTATAGTTAAGTTTATGATTACTTTAATAATTATAATATTAACAGAAGTGTGGCATATTGTTTCTATCTTTTAGCTACAGAGTTTTATGAGTAATAATAGACTTTGAGAATGCAATATATTTTTTCGTTCAGGTGTTGTAGAATCAACTTAGGTGTTAATAATAAACAACTAACAACAAATGCTACAAATTGTACATAAAACAAATTGTGAGTTAATGCTTATTCATATTATTACTATCTATAGAAACAAAAAAGTGGCCATAACCGAAGCTTGTCTATTAATTTGTTCTATGTCATTGTATAATAACTCTTTATCTATTTTCTGTCCTAGAATATGTGTAGTAAGCAAATATTGCATAACAGCAATGACAAACAGCAAAATTACTGCGATTGTTTTTTGTATATTGCAACAAATTAGTGTATGAGTGTGAATTTTTAGAATCGGACGGTAGACTAACTCGGAGAAAGATATGAGAGCACAAATTTTAAGTTTGTTGATTCCGTGTGGCTGTTCTGTTTGAGAACCGAAATGATTGGGCATCCAAAATTTGGGGCTGGCGTACAAAAGCCTGGTTCCAGAATTTTTGAAACCATTTTCATGTTAAATAATGTTGCCGATAACTGAACAAAGAATTCGTCTTTCTATTATTTCCGACTAGTATTGAGAGCACATAACGTTACATTTGATTCAGCCTTTTATCAAAATATACTACAGAAAGAATATTTGATTTCCCTGTAATAATGAACACGTAAATATAAAGGCATTTCTAATTGGTTATAATTAAGCTTGCGATTGCTTTATTATTAAAATATTGGCACAAGAATGACAGGACGTGTATATTAATATTGTTTCTACCTTTTAGCTACGGAGTTATTAATAGAAATTGTGAGTTGATGTTCATTCATATTATTACTATCTATAGAGTCAAAAGGTCAACTTCCGATACCTGTACAATGTGAGTTTACCATAGCCATGACCGAAGCTTGTCTATTAATTTGTTCTATCATTCAATTAGTGTTTAATGTGTCTAACGTTAATTTCAATAATTTTCTTTGTATAATAACTCTTTATCTAATTTCTGTCCTAGAAGGTGTGTAGTAAGTAAATATCGCATAACAGCAATGACAACCAGCAAAATTACTGCAATTGTTTTTGTATATTGTAACATGCCACACCTTACACGCTTGGAAATAAGACTTTGCATCTAACCCTCAAAACAAACGGTCGACACTTATGAGCAAGTAATAGATGGCTAATTGAAACATTTGTACTAAAATAGGAGACGGAATTGTGCCACTCAACCATTAATGAACGAAAACGTATAGTGTTATAGGTGCCTGTTGAAAAAATGTCGATACAAAACGACTTGCGGAATTGATGATGAGTAATTAATTGACGAGTCGAGATGTTCGATCACGTGATTTTACTATACTCGCAAAGGAAATGTTCAGTTCATTCAACCGCTAATTAGCTATGAACTATTTATTATTAAAACGAAATGGCTCATGGCAAATATTAATATTAAAACGAGATCCTGTTTTTCTTGGGCTCTGGAGGAGTTTTTTATTATGACATCGAAAATAGTAACTGCGTAGGATAACACCTACTTGTGAGCTGACGAAGAGAGGATGAGAATTTACAAAAAGAAAAAAGAATAATGATCTCGCATGTTTCATATTGAATAACGGTTTTGCTAAAACTGAGGGTGTGATCGGTTAATTAACCGAATACTCTGTCTGTTAATCACAAAAACACGTGTTCTTCAATTCAATCATTACATTACATTCATACTCACATCATTTCCGCCAATCTTTCCAATCTTTACGTATACCCTTTTCAACTTGCTGAGACACACCTCAGATATACACCCTCCTTAAATCTCCTGGTAACGTAATCTTCTGACACTGCGGACATACCTTCTTCACGCCTAAAGACTGCAACCAACACTTTTCACAGTGTACGTGCCAGCAGATGATTGATGTGAGCGGCGTGTCGTAAGTGTCAAGGCAGATCAAGCACCGAGGAATGTTGGTTTGCGATTCCTTTTTAAAGGAAATAAATTGGTATTATCAAGTCGCTAAGAATGATAAAGGCATTTTTTTATTATTCACGTACCAGTTGTCGAATACGTGCCTTAAGTGACTCTTCCACTAGGCTAGAATCTGCTGGAATATCTACCAGGTGTGTATGTAGGGATCGTGGATTAACGTGTCTGCCAAAATGTCTAAACCAACAAAAAAGTGCATTCACATACCTGTAATTTCACACTCTTTCTTCTTATCCCTCTTTGTGCGTCCGTTTGAAAGGTTCGATCTAACGAACCAACGATTATTCAAACACTTCAGAGATTAAATTTCATTTCTCTTTACTACATACTCGCATTCAAGTCTATTTTGCATCGTAACTTTGTGTTTCATAAAACGTACTCACCTGCCATTTCTTCGACCTCCAACAACCAATTCCCTTAACTGAGTTGCAACTTTATCTTCACTAATATTAGTCACTCGTATGATGTCACTCTCCGCATACTGTGCCCGACCGTAAACATGCTCATCATCGACGACGTCCACATTTAGAATTTCATCGTGATCAGCGTGAGTTTGAGGTCGTTGGGAGCGGGAGTGTGATGGTGTTAGGCGCAAAGCTTCAAGTGAAGAATGGGTGTTAAACGGGTTATAACTTGACGTGGCGTAATAACAATAATAATAATACAATCATAGTTGCTTCTTATCACCCAAGATACACGTTTATTCTCATCCCCGCATACCTTTTCCACTCACTCGCTCCCCCCTGCCAAAGTTCGTCGTACCTGCCCAACCACCCTCGACTAAAGACACTGCCCTAACACGTGTTTGTCCGGCCCAGGTGTACTCTTCGTACTCACCTGATACGTTATTACAGTTGGTAGCTGTAGTTTGTGTATACGTTGGTGAGGATCTTGAATTTCGTGACTTGATTAGAAAAGGGTAGAGAGAGAAATATAGAATAGGTAAAAGAAGTATTGTTGATTTGTCTGTTGACAGGTAGGAGATATCTTTTGGCAGAGACTCAAATCAGCCGGTTTTTACTCCCGTTCAGATCCAGATAGCAAAAAAAACAGTACTTACTCTTTTTGCATACTTTTCTAAACAGACATCAATATGTTGATTAACATATTCGATATCGTTACGAAGCACTATTCCACATAGGCAACACCTTTGTGTTTGTTCTCCATCACACGTCATCTCATTGAATATCATTTGCTCATCCTCCTCGTATCGACCAAATGTCTCATCACATTCTGTCTCGCAATCAACGCCCATCCTAGTTTCATTATCGTCAACATCTCCATCCTCGTTGATATTGTTTCTCCGATGCTCCTAACCATTTTAGTTTGATTTTACAGAAAAGGATTTACACCTTTTTCGACTCTTTTTAGTGAATACAAAGCACGTGAGAGAGGTACAATGAATAGACCGTTATAGGAAGTTACCTTGGCAAAGGATGAATATGTGTTGTGGTATGAAGTATTGGGTTGGATATGAGATGGAGGAGGGGATCGTGCTGGTTGTTTGCCTTTGCGCGTCACGGTTAGGCGTTTGCGGGCTTCGTGTGCTGCATTACGTTTTGAGCGCATTCTGAGTCGAAAAATCAGAGATGCAGTATTAGAAAATAAAATAAATTCCATTGTTCATATCCCACCGAGTCTCTTGAAAACGATCATATGAAAAAGGAAAACTATTCACAACTAGGCGTAATTCGTGCGTATCGCTACTGTACGTAATTCTCAACATTGCTATGCGTCGCGCAATATTTCTTTACCCTCTTTCCCTCACCATTGCTTCAACATACACCGAACACTCATCACTCCCATCCACTAAAACCTGCTTCTCCTGGTTCTCTTCCTCGAATGCATCATGTCTCGTGTTACACTGAGGACATTGCAGCGGTTCCTTTAGTAATGAGGATTTGGCTTTTCGCGATCGATCAGAATGTGAAAACGCAATGGATGGATCGGTGTGGAAGTGTCAGAAAAAGAGTGAATTGAGCGTGTAAGCGTATCAAAATGGAAAACAAGAAAAAGAAAGGGTAAAGAAAGAATATGGTAAATATTAGCGAGAAAATATGTGATGGATGATGCCAAAACACGCAAAGAAATACAAATAATAAAAATGGGTAAAAATGTGGAGAGATTCGTTGATTACATTTTTTCCTACCGCAACTATCATTACTTCTCGTTCGCAATCGCTTCTTACTATCCATAGCAGACACTTGCATTGTTTCTCTTCAATATATATTGAAAAATCAACTTAATTTTACTCAAGAATTTCTTTTCCCATATCCAGCCTTCTTATGTTTCCATCCTTCATTCTATCTCTTCGTTGACTTACCCATTCATCCTAGAACTACCCTCTGATTCATAATCATCACGACCGTTACAATTATTACAATCATTGATAATACCATTTTCACAAGACCCGTTCTTAATTTTCACTCTTGTTCGGTTTGCTGTACAGGCCATTCTACAACTATTATCCAACGAATTAATGAATATTAGCGGGGGTTCGGTGTGTATAATCAAAGAGAAAAGAGAAAATTAGCGGGAAGGAGAAAAGTTTTAGGTTGGATTCTTGAAATTGAAGAAACGGAATGGATGCGAGTTGGATGAAGTTTAAAGGATCTTTTTGTGGTGTGGTAACACTTGATTGAAAACACCAAAGGCCAGGAGAGATTGTACGACGATGGATTGGTCATGTGAAGATAACAATATAACGTAATTTTACTTTTTAATCGAAGTTTTTTCAAGAAAATGATAACCGACGACATTCTCGAAACAATTCTCAAAGCTAAAGCACAGGAACCTATAACTGATTTCTTAGACTGGCCCTCAATGAGTCTTCAATTATTAGCTAGAGAGACTGTATGTTCACTAATTTTATCCAATCGGTTCTTCATACCTTTCTCATTCAATGTTCATTCTCTTAATTCGCACTTGTAGGTTTTCCCAACACCAGATGAAATAACCGCAAATCTTCATGCGTCTTGTGTGCAGTCCGGATCTAGGCCCAATTCGCGATTCTCCAAAGGCATTCTTGAAAGGCCATATTATTTAGCCTTTTCAGAAATGATTATCAAGTGTTTTGCTAATGGCGGTTTGTTCCCTGAAGATGTTGTCAAGAGTCAAGTATATATGCTAGAAGGAGTTAATGTTGCAAGGTGAGGAACGCCTCGAAACAGAAGTTTTGTATGCGTGACTATCCATTGATCGTTGGTTCGTAACACAAAAGTCCAGGCTGAAAGAAATAGAGCAGCGAATGATTGCAATGTATAATTCATGGGCGTCCATCTCACCGCCACTAGCAGAGAAGTTGTCCACATTAGAAGATTTTTTATTTAAAGTTTGTATTAGACTTTATCTTGCAGATTCAAAACTAAGCTTATTTTGCTTCTAATGTAATTTTTTTCTTCAGTTTCTAACTCCAAAGGACGTCAACACATTTCTAGGGTTGCGCACGACAATCGGGTCTGCCGTCTATTTACCCCCTTCGTTGAACGAGTGTGTAAATGCTTTCACAAAAATACACACAAAAAGTAACGTGACAGAACAAAGTGGAGGGGAACAGGGCAGTGGAAGTGAGGGAAGTATCGGCGATGGAGAAAGTAAACGTCGTAAAAACAAAGTAAACACTTTGACAGTAGGGGCAAAGGCTTTCTCCAAACATTGTCACAGAGACCGATCGAGAAATTTTTGGGGCACGTGTACGGGAAGTAAGTGTTATTTCGCGTGCTGCCAGTTACAGACTAATAATGTTAGATCTGCCCAAGATTTACAAGTCCTTTTCCGTATTTTGGCCGTGACTGATTTGTATGCTTTGTTTCAGCCGAAAAGCAAAAGAACGAACAAGCAAACCTTGTCCTGGCCAAGATTATAACCAATGCAGCATGGATTAATCTCCATTCACTTCCGGTATTTAAAGAAGGTCCAATTCAAAATTAAGAATATTTGATTGTTTTTCTCAACTCACATTTTCCTGTTACGATCTCAGCATAACATACTCACATATGAGATACGCACCGCAGAAGGGTACGGCGCACGATGGACACTGAATGCGCCATTGACGTCAACTAATAGCTCTGCAACTCAATCACCAACTCCATCTTCATCAAAAACATCACCTTTCGTGTTTGATTCTCCTCAAACTTCACTCACGTTCCGCGGATTTCTAGAACCTCAGATGGAAAACGGACACGGGAAGAAGTGGATTCATTGATTACGATAAATATATTTATATATGTTAACGTAGTTTACGGTTATTAAGACAAATTATTCATTTCCCCGGATACAATAAAAATAATGTTATTGTAATCTTGTGATTATTATGGTCATCCCAATCACCGTACTCGTATAAGCAGTCCATAGCAAGTCTTGTTCTACTCTCATAATTAAACGCTATGTTGAAGGTCGAAGAAAACAATCAAATACCCTCGAGAGATTTGATTGTTTCTTCAAGCTCCTGCTGAGCCTGATTATGTTTCTCTTTCCATTCTTCAGCCTTTGCTTCGAGGTCTACTGATTGATTTTCGAGAACTTGGACTTTTCTTTCAGCTTGCTCTGCTCGTAGGTCGCTCTCTCGAAGTCTGAAAGTGTATGAAGAAGAAACATTAATAATGCGTTGTCGTCGTGATGAATACTCTAATTCTTATACCACATCGGTATCCGACCTAACTATCCCAAAACTCACAGCAACTTACTTATTTGTCGTCTCAGCCAGACGCTTCTCAGTTTCTTCAAGGTCAGATTCAAGCCGAGCAACTTTATTTTTCAACGTTTCTATTTCGGCATCTTTATTAGATGACTCTAATTCAAAGGCTTTCGCCTTGGCCGCTTCTTCGTCTGCACGTGCCGTAGCTGCGTCTGCCTCAGCGCGGAGGTTATTGACTCTCTAGATTGATATAATTGGTAATATAAAAATAATACACCCGGGAGGAAAAGGATAATAGAAGGAAGGTATTAATAAGCTTAAGTAAAGTCTGCCGGACTTGTGATTGTAACAATGAGAAGAAGAACGTCTAATTCTACAAGTATACCGGTAGGCTTTCCGTCCTCACTTTCAACTTATTGCGTGCATTTTAACACACTCCGCTCACTCCTCTCACCCTTCACACTCTTTCTATGCATGCTATCCGTAATTCCTTCGTCTTATTACCTCTTTAAGTCTGTCCATGTTTCGGGTTTCAGCAGGCCGATGGGAATAGGCTGTGTAGGTAAAAGGGTAAAGATAACATGAAAAAAGGATTGTGATTAATATATGGGGACTTGATCAGTTGTGGCGTAAGCTTGACTACTAAATTTGAACCCCTGAGTCCAACACTATTAATATGGGACATGTTAAACATAACGCCACAGTATTATTTTTAACAATCCGGCCAATTTAATGCAAAGTAATATTGTTTTTTAGCCAGGAAAGGTTGGAATGCATTTTAAACGGCATCCATATAGTCTACGTTTTTGTCATGCCAAGAATGTGAAAATTCTAGTTCGAATACTAAAGAGTCAATCATAAGCAATACATTTCTTTGAGATAGGTTGCAATTGTTAACGTGATGCGTTTCGAGCTCTCTTTAGATCCGAACAAGATATATTTCAATGGTACAGTTAAAGCAATGCATAGAGGAATAATAAGCACCAGCTGACGTCTTAAAAGAAAGCGCGTGCTAATAAGAGAACTTTTTACCATTGGTATCGCAATATAGCTCTTTGCCGGAAGACATGTTAGATATTGTACATGGTAATGTAAAAGAGTCGCCGCAATGAAAGTGTCAATCGCATTATCCCAATCTCTTGTATTTTTACCAGCAGAATCGAGTTATAAATCAGTCCATCGCAGGCCTTGAAAACAATAGTAATAGCGCGTTGAACGGACGGAGCAACTTTTTCTCCTGGAATACTTGTCATAGTACTGTAATTTTTAGACGATTATTCCTGAAACATAATTCTTCAGAGAGAGGTGGTAAAGGCATAACCTGGTCGAGTGAATGATTCATATCCTGCATAGCATCAAACATTGTTCGTTTACTCTGTCTCTGATTTAGTCTTTGTAATAGCGATTCATTGAATATATTGTCCTGAAGGATCTAACGCGTCGATCACTATTAATTGAACTATCTGTTACTTCTGTACTGTATGTAGTTAGTCTCGCACTTGTATTTACTTTTTTATCGCTCGCAATGTAGTGAATATTCTTTCGCTCATCACCTGATATGTAAAATCCCGAGACTGTGACGCGTCACGATCTTTATATACAGCGACATTATATACAGTGTGGGACAACAGTTCATTGCGCCACAACCAGTGAACAAATTCACATCACTACAAGCTGAAAACCAGGTGATTTTATTAATATATTTTTAGTAAGATTACGTTCTCCATTCTTTTCAGTTACAAGTTCACAACGCCGTTTCATTGACTCCACTAAGTTAATTAGAGTAGAATCTGGGATATTTTCCCATTCCTCTACCATAAATCGCTCCAGTTCTTTGGCATTCGCCTCTCCACATTACCTTTAACAATACCCCAGAGATTTTCAGGTCAGGGCTGTTAGACGACCAAGCCATGACTTCAGGCAATTCTCTCGAAGAAAGGACGGCTTGTATGTTTCGGATCATTATCTTGTTGAAACCGCCATCTGCCCTTTATAGCATGCGATTTATCTCTGGAGCATGTCTGCAGAGAATATCTACATAGAATTTAGCATCCATGAAAATGAAAGCAAATTCCGATAGATGAACACATGATCCCCCTAAAGCAAAATAAGCTTGTCTTTCCCTTATTGCAGAAACCACCCCCATGCAAAATTTTCGCCCTGTCTTTGGGCGTAGGACGAGTTGGTCAATACCCCGCCTAATTATCTGTACTAACCCCAGCACCTCCTCCTCAACCACGGCAGTAAGCAGTCTGAAATTCAGATGTTGGTGCTTGTGGTGGTGGAGGTGCCAGCAGCCAACGCAATTCAATACTTGTCTGCCCTGTAATACAAGGAGAATAAGTTAGACATTCGCTGAGATAATACATATTATTGAAGTTAAGCAATAAAAGAACTATACTTTAAAATTTATAATTAATAATATTATTATATAAGCTGCTATTGCAGTAGATTTTCCTTTATGCCTATGAAACTTAATCCCTTGGGTAGCTAGTAAACTCTCTCAATATATTGCTATGGCACATCAGGAAACGTACCCGATTAATAGTGCCAGATCACACCAACCTCAAAGGGCATGCCTACAACATAGTCCCAAAGGAGAGAGAAGGATGGCGCTACGAGGTCTAGTGTAATAGCAATGTTCACATATCCTAATAACCTTTACTTTTTACATACTAACCTCATGAACGAGGGCAGACCTGTTGATAATGATGGTGGTAGAGGCTGCGTTTGTAGAGGAGCCCGTGTTCGTAGAGGTCGTCGTGGAGGCCATAGTCATGGTGGTGATGGTGGAGGAGGAGGGAGGAGGAGGATTCGTCTTTATACCAGCGTTCAACCGTGTTTCGGAAGAGTTGAAAGCAGAATCAAAATTGAATTCGTGCATTTTACGCGTCGCAAAACGTGTTTTTGTATCATGAAAAAAAATTTTTTGTTCCACACTGTATATACTGTATTGTATGTAATAGTAAATCCTTTATTTTCTGAACCGAAAAAAAAAAAGTCCACTGCAATACAGGTTCTCAGAACACGAAAAGGAAAAAGATGCTTTACGAAAATATTTCTCTGGAAATAATAAACGACAAAATGATGCAGTGACTTTCCTTTCTGTGATGAAGGGAAACTTGGATTCTTGAGATCTCTGATCTCTCCGCCTGGTATGTTCTCTCAGATTTTATCAAAGCATGGATAATATGACTTAAACTCTTGTTTTCTTGGCAATACTTACATAATCTTGTGCTTTTCTTTCCTGCTTTTTATCATCAAACCCGCCAAAAACACATTCGCGTTATCGTAGAGCAACCCGATGTCACTGGTAATAATAAATTTGGTCAACGTGAGGGAACACGATATGGTTTGACTTTGTTAACTGTTGTTGCTTCATTCTCGCCTACACCATGTCCATGTCACACCAATAATAATTTTATTTTATTTTATTTTATTTTATTTTATTTTTATTTTTATTTTTTGATATTTAGAGTCCCTTGGCAAACGAAGAAAATTTGATCTAAAATTCTTAATTCTTACCACTCCCCTTCTTCACCTTCCTCTTGGGATAACTGCAAAAAAGATATAAAATCCTTTTATAAATCAATTTCCTCTTATGATGATGATATAAAAAACTGCAAAGGATTTGGAATGCTTTTAAGGATACTCCAGACGATTCCCCGTTCCTTCGGTTTTCCGAGAAAGTTTCCTACCTTTTTGGCAAAGATGATAAAGTAACAATATAACCACCTTGTTCGTCCGTAAATGTTATCTCCACTTATCTAAAATTATTCTCGAGAGTGCCAATATCCGTCGTTTCTTATTACCGGAAATCCAGGGATTGGAAAAACCTTCTTTGGTTATTACTTACTTTATAAACTTGCACGACAAATAAAACGGTTGTATACCATAATAATAAGTGCAACAAGTCTCCGATTCTCTTTAGTAATGATACCATTTACAGTATTTATGAAGACAATATTTACACATTCAAAGATTACCTGGGAAATGAAGATGTTTGGTATATTGTGGATGGAAGGGAACCAGCAGATTATATCGCCAAGACAATTCTTGTCTGTTTGCCTCAGAAGAATAACTACAACGAGTTTTGTAAACTAGGAACAACTATTCAATATATGTCAGTATGGTCATGGGAAGAGACCGATACATGCAGGGCAGAACTTTTCCCCAAACTTTCTCAAGAATCTGTTCGGGAATTGTACAATCGTTGGGGTGGCATTCCCCGGTTTACCTTGTTATATGCTTTTAATGATTTTCAGCAACGTCTTCTTGACAAGGCAATTAACTCAGTTAATGAGTCTATATTCAAATTTATTGGTGAATCCACTGATGACAATAAATAGCCCTAGTTACAAAATCGTCCATATATACACAAACGTACCAGAGAAGGAGACAGTGGAAGTAGAGGATAATCCTTCGTCAAAAACTCCCACAGTAACCAAACCAGATAAAGGGAAAAGTATTGCAGGGAAAGAGGTTCCTTTCTATATATCATGTCAACTTTAAAGTTTGCGTCTGATTATGTCTCTGAAAAGGTAATGAGTATACTCACAATGCATTACAGGGATGAGCTGTTGAATTTTGCGCGAGCTAGCCCAGCGATAAGTGCTTACGGTACTACACTTCGGGGTACTATGTTTGAGCGACTTGCTCACAGAAAGATACTAAAGGGAGATCATTTAATGTTCGGCCTTTTATCCAACAATACAGTAACTACCTCTTGCTTCGAGTTGAACAACAAATACCCAGCCGGGAAAAATTGGTGCTCAGCAATATTGAAGAGATTAAACCTAACATGTACTGTATACCAACCCAACAAAACAACGCGTCCTTCGATGCATATGTTTCTCCCGACACATTCTTCCAAATGACTATTGCTGGGAGTTATCCTATCGTCAGGAGTGGCTTGGAGAAATATATTAATGAAAACGACAATTTCGAAATCAAGTTTTATTTTGTCCTGCCAAACACACTGTAAAAAGAACTGTTCTCAAGAGAAAACCATCTTGGTTTGGTCGCTTTCGACAATATGCTCTGGAACTTGATCAGAAGTTGTAGTTTGTATTGAAAGATAGTTATCAGTTATGTTCTCATATAGGATCGTTATATCAAAAAATAAAGCACTGCATATTCTCAAAAAATTTTACAGACGACATACGTAATTTGATATGACAATCATATTATGGTTATGAGATAACATCGAAAATTAATTAATAAAAAAAAAAAGCTCTCCGAAAGAAATCATACTAGTACAGGGCGAGGAAGGTTCATGATCTTTTTTTTTCATATTAGTGATGATAAAATTCAACGGATGGTGTTAATCCAACGAATAAAAACGGGTTCTAATACACGATATACAGGACCCATCTGCTTCTTATTATTATGTATTATTTGTATTTTGGGATAATCGCGCAAATAAATGCTAGCAAGAAAATCTATAATTTCCCAAATTTAATTAACAAAATATCTTATCCTCGTAATTATTTTATAAGATTCTGTGATTACCGTTAATTCGCATGAGTTATTATTATTGTTATGTACTTGACTTAAATCAATCCGCAAAACCGTCTTATAGCTTGGATTAGTTCAGCATTCTGACTAGCGTCCAGCTGGCCAATTCTAACGATTATTGTTAAAATTATGATTATTTAATTTATTATTCTTATTAAAAATACGATGCATGAAGTTTTCCCAACTCGCAATTATTAGTTAAATGTTGGCTCGATCGAATTCGGTAAGCAGTTGATAGCCCGAGGTGCTTATTATTATTTCGATCGGTATTAGATTAGGAAGTCTTTTATACCTAAATGACGTTGAACCTTTAGTAAAAGAAATCAAGTAATTCAGTTTGACGTTCTTAACAGAGTTTGGTAATCTATGAAAGTTTTATAGTCGTTGTCATCCTATCGCGGCATTTGTTTGATATTTTGCAATAAAGTAACTGTCGATACCAAACATACATAACAGTCTTACATCATAATATACATGCTATAAATACTCTCATACCAATTGCATACTCCATAGATAATTGCTCAACCTGGGTATTTGGGTATTTACGTATAATCCCTCCAAATTGGATCGTTTGCATAATCCACCCCTGCATTAACAGTTAAATACCAATATTTATATTATTCGCTCGGACGGTAAATCCCTTTCGCGTACATTACCCGGTACAATACGCATATTCCAGTCACTGAACAAATGGAGAGTGTTTTGACAGCGCTATTGTGGCTTGCAATCTCGTATCCCCTGAAGTCCTGTGGCGTCATAATCAATATTCTGGTTTATGTCCACATATACACTAGTATGGTAATGCCTATATCTTTCAACAAAGTTTGAAATAACCTCACCGAAGGGCATAGTTTCTGTTATTTAAAGTGATAATAGAATAAAAAAGTAGCCAACCATGGGAAGGTATGCTTTCCCTGGTCTTAAACAGCAATTCATTGTTGACGACAAATATGAATTCGTACGTGAGTTGGGTCAAGGTGCATATGGTGTTGTATGGTAATGGCGTTTCCTCTACAGTTATCGTTACTTTGTCTTTTATATGTCGGTAATTGACTGTCCCGCACTTGACATGTTCACTTATTATTATTATTCTTGCGATGGCATAGCGCTGCGCGTAATACAGAGACGGGACAGGGTGTTGCTATAAAGAAAGTAACGAATGTCTTTAGTAAGACTATACTTACCAAGCGTGCTCTCCGTGAGGTCAAGCTTTTGCAGCATTTCAGAGGCCACAAGAATGTAAGCTATTGTTTCTGGTAGAATGATCTCTGTAATTAACAGTTTTGATATAATCGTTATGTGCATGTTATGCTCTGTTTATGTGACATGGAACCAACCTTTCTACAATTTGACAGATCACATGCCTCTACGATATGGATATAATCGACCCATACAATTATCATGAAGTGTAATTGCAACATTTCTATACCTTTTCTTAGCATGGCTTTTTTGAATGAAGCATGTCATAAATGATTTAATATTTACTTTTTTTCCCCCAGATATCTTTATGAGGAACTCATGGAAGCCGACTTGCACGCCATCATCCGATCAGGTCAACCGTTGACTGATGCTCATTACCAAAGCTTTGTTTATCAAATACTTTGTGGATTGAAATATATTCATTCAGCTAATGTATTGCATCGAGATCTTAAACCTGGTTAGTAGATATGCTTTATACTTCACATAATGGACAGTATAATATCGCGTTATACTGCAATCATTAGCTTATTAATTATTTCTCATTCTGCATAGGAAATCTTCTTGTGAATGCTGATTGCGAACTCAAAATATGTGATTTCGGTCTTGCGCGAGGATTTTCTGAAGATCCGGAGGCGGATTCCGGATTTATGACCGAATATGTTGCCACGAGATGGTATAGAGCTCCAGAAATCATGTTAAGTTTTCAGAGTTACACTAAAGCCAGTAAGAACAGTTCTATATTAATTCACATTATCTGTTTGTGTGCAAATTAATGAATACTACGTGTCTATCTTACGTATATTATTCGTAGTCGATCTCTGGTCAGTAGGATGCATCTTGGCTGAACTATTAGGCGGCCTACCACTCTTCAAGGGGAGAGATTGTATCCTTTGTGAAACGAATAAAACTTTTTATACAACGTGATCTGTTCACGCAGACTTTTACTCAAACATTAAACTTACATATATGCAATGTTGTTATCATAGTTGTGGATCAGTTGAACAAAATTCTTCAAACTCTAGGAACGCCGAATGAAACGACTATTCAGAGGATTGGTGGCGTCAGGGTAAATCTAGTAGATTTCTGTTCGGTTGAATTGATTCTAGCCAAGACTAATTTATGTATAATGTAGGCTCAGGATTATATCCGCAGTCTACCGCCTATGCCAAAGAGGCCATTTCAACTAATGTATCCCAATGCCAACCCCCTAGGTGAGTGGGTGACATGATATGGGGTGTATATATATCGTACAAAACAACAGCTAACACCTTGTTTAAAACAGCAATTGATCTTCTTGAGCGATTATTGAGCTTTGATCCCTCTGAGCGCATAACGGTGGAGGAAGCTTTGGAACATCCGTATTTAGCCGTCTGGCATGATCCGAATGATGAGGTTAATACAATTGATGCTCTTGCTGATTTATATTGTTCATACAAAGTCGGTTCCTCGATAATAATGTCTTTTCTTTTAATATTGACAGCCAGTTTGCCATTCACATTTTGATTTCTCGTTTGAGGCAATAAACGATCCTGAGGCGATGAAAGGTACGTGTTTTGGGGACATTACTGTAAGGGTGTCTTTTTCATGAATAGAATTCTTTAGTAGTTTGGATACTCTAGCGTGGGTTGATATAGTTGTACGTGATCGATTTGGTCCTTAATGTGGTTGCGATATTACTTTTTTGTGTGAAGGATTTATACGGGTTTCGGCACTGTTCTGATACAGTCACAATAGTATAACTCGCGTTACATTCTTTCAACGTGTATTTGACAACATTTTCACAGCGCTAATTATATTCATTGGATTTTATAGTGATGATAGCTCACGAAGTAGCCAATTTTCGGTCCCTAGTGCGACGTCAACATCCGTCTCAGCTGACAGTTGCTACTGCTCAACAGCAGAAAGCAAACCTGACAAAAATTCCTGACCGTGATACTATTCTCAATTCACCAACGGCTGTACGTAATGCAGATGCCTTTGGATTTGATCAATATCGACCACCCGTGGCAGGAATAAGTGATGATTTGGAAAGAGAATTGAGCGGTGGTGTTGAAGTAGGTATCGTGAAAATTCGCCCAATGTTTGCAAAAGGTGCGATGTGGTTATTAACGACAGCCGATTCATTCTTTTTCATAGGTCATGTATACGACATAGGCTTGGAAATCTATCACAAACGCTGAAGATTTTGAACATATTATATATTATTTTTACTTTTGTTCTCTATCTTATTTGTTCCTATCTTTTTCCCACCCCCCTTTGTTGTGAAGTATAGTATCACAGATAAAGGATCCTTATTCTGTTCGTGCTGTCAATAGCCAATTCCATATTACTCCAATACGCTTCATCAATCCATATATCTCTTCCTAAAGAATTAAATAGTTATAGTTAAATGATTACATATAACAGAAGCTTAGATGTCTATATCATTAGCTTTCTTTATTCTGTTATAGAAGCATTTTAAATAGAAATACGAAATATACATTGAGACACTATTATGTTCACACCAAAGTATTAGTTATCTGTTAATATCCACCGAGTTCTTTCTCTAATTGTTCTTTGTCAATTTCCATATCAGTAGGTATTGGTTCAGATTCGTGTTGGACGACATCCTGATAGTCGTACATAGGATTATTCTGACTGGGATTTGGCAAGCTATGAGTTGAACAATATTAGTTATTACTGTATTTAAGAATATATACTTTGATAATATATAGACGGTAGGAAATCAATGTAAATACTTGAGTTTGTTTCCCAATGGAGGTCCATTTTGAGCCATTGCCGCCTGTCTTGACGCTTTAAATGACATTACTTCCTGGGCAATCATCGCTAAGCAGAGGAGCAATGCATAATTAGTAAACACATATCGCGGGCCGGAAAACAATATCACAAATTAAATAGAACTAGTCAATGGCTTACTCTTCATTTCGTCTATTGAATCCACGCTTTCAAATGAGAAATCAAACATATGCTCATGCGTAGGCTAAAAAAAAAAAAAAGACAAAATATATGATATATACGTATTATGACAAGGATAATAGTTTGTATCTAATACCGAAATTCAATAATAACCTCGTCTTCTTCGTCATGGTACGCAGCCAGATAACGATGCGCCAAGGCTCCCTCAACCGTAATCCTTGTTGCAGGGTCAAACTTGAGAAGTTTCTCCAACAAATCAAGAGCTACACGGACCAAAAAAACATGAGTCTATCCCTTTCAGCACATATATGTATGCTCTCGCGTTTCCTACCTAATGGATTTGCCTGTGGGTATAACTGAGAAAAAGGCTTTTTCGGCATTTCGGGTAAACCGCGAATATACTCTTGAGCCTAATTTGTCAAATTCAGGAAAATATTAAAAAAGGACCCAAAAATGATGCAAACATTGAGCAAAGCAAAGTAAATTCAAACTTACTTTCTCACTACCAACTCTTGACAATGTCTCCTCATCAGGTGTTCCTAATATATTTAATATCTTGTTCAACTGATCTACATAATCACGACCTCTGAAAAGTGGTTTCCCCCCGAGCATTTCTGCAAAAATACATCCAACGGACCACATGTCAACTAGAAGAAGAGAGAAATATATGAATATTCCAATTTCCGAATATGACTTGAAAATAGTCATGCATTTGAAAAGGAAAAGAACAGTTCATACTGGCTTTTGTGTAGTTTTTAAAGCTAAGCATTATCTCGGGTGCTCGGTACCACCTTGTTGCAACATATTCCGTCATAAAACCCGCATTATGTTCTGGATCATCGGAGAAACCACGGGCAAGGCCAAAATCACATATCTGCTCGGAAATTATAACGTCTTGTCAATGACTCTAATCGCACACCCTAACAATTTCCATCGCCAATCAATAATCTAACCTTCAATTCACAGTCTGCATTAACTAGTAAATTACCTGGGGAAGAAAAGAAAAGAAAAGAAAAGACACAAGTCAGCAAACACAAGTTAGAAGTCTATAGACGAGTTGCGCATAGTTACCGGGTTTCAGATCTCTATGTAATACATTAGCCGAATGAATATATTTTAGGCCTCGACAGATCTGATATATAAAATATTGGAAGTGAGCGTCCGTCAGTTGTTGTTCCGACCGTATGATCGCATAAAGATCGGCTTCCATGAGTTCTTGGAACAAATAACTGTTTTAAGAATGGAACTAAATCAACAATTGTCAACTACACAACACACCCAAGCAGGAATCTTTATAACAGTAACTTGTGATGCAAACACTGTAAACCGCTCATGGTCTGATGGCGTGTACGTTACATTTCGTGAAAGTCATGAACATTAGTTATATCCATATCCAGAATCGATGTTATCTGCCATGAAAAAAGAAAATCAGCCAAGGGAAATTAATATGTGAACACTGGAATTTTATCAAAAATGATGATAGTCGTTAAGTAATTACATTGTCATGGCCATTAAAATGTTTCAATAGCTTTACTTCTCTAAGCGCACGCTTAGCCAGTATGTCCTTTTCGAATACTTTCGTCACTTTCTTGATAGCCACTTGTTCGCCAGTTTCAGTATTCTTTGCTGCACTATTTAAATCGAATACAAAGGACGGATATGGTAGCCATGCATAATATACATATATTTAGTCAGTTACGTATTTAATGTATTTGCAAATCGAAAACGGTAACTGAACTGCAGCTAATAACTTACCAGACAACACCATAAGCACCTTGTCCTAGTTCACGTATGAACTCGAACTTTGTGTCTACTAAAAACTGCTGTTTGAGCACTGGGAAAGCGTGATAAGGCATGTTTACTAAAGTGTGAGCGAGATGCAATCGTATGAGAATTCAGCTCATCATTATCGGGGACCAGCAATTCGTCAACAATTCTCTGACCTATAAATGGAAGTCATTGAGTATTTATTATTGTCCGAGTTTCAATGTCTTATAATTTCCATACAAATCTGGCACTGTCACAAGATAAAAAGCCCTCCATTTTCCGCATGGCGCTAATGGAGCATCTCTTGTTTGATGTTAAAAATGCCCACAAACGTTATGCCCATAGACATTACGGCCAGAGACTATCCAATAGAGTCGCTAGCTCTTACGGAAAAAGAAATTGTGGAAATAAGGTAAAGGAATAAACAAAGTGTGTTTGACAAAAGGGTGGCGGTGAAGAGAAGGATAAATAATACTAACTATTGAGATAACGAATACTAGTGTACGTCTGTTCTGACTATTATATCGTATATCATCTCTTTCTTGTTGTGTGTACATTTATAACATTATTGAAATTGTTCCAATGTGTTAGAGGTAAGCCAGAAGATATATCGGATGCATAATTCTAGATTTCTTTCAAGTCATTAACCAACAGCCCTGTCGATAGCTCGCCAACGAACTTTCGAAGGCGCATATTGGAGAACCTGTCTCTCGGCATTCGGATTTTCGTTGATCATTCTCCGAATATTCGAGCCGGCATTCTACAACATTGGCCTCGTTTTTGTTGGCTATGGAGCGCTGATGCTCGCAATTGCTGCCTTGCGCCGACGGAAAAATGGGGATATATTTGATACTACCAAACCATTCGAAACTGGTGGGGGATTTGTGGTTTTGACTTCGCTATTGGCTCTCTCTACCTATGTTGCTTTATTGGTGTTCATTGTCAAGCTAGAACACTGACGTAAGAGAATGAGTGAATCGAATTGGGCATTCTGTCCAATGTATGTAATTCAGAAATCAAAATTGTGCGTATAAGAGTACATATTAATATGCAAATAAGAAGCTTATGTTTGTTCGTTGTTTGTCATGTATCACTTTGACCCAAGTATCTACTTAACAATGTGTCTGATTCTCCTGTGTACTTTGTATCTACATATATAGGTGTATTTAATTAAAAATTAAACAGCTGACTGCAGGTTTCTTTGGTGATGGCCGAGGTAATTAGAGGTGAATTCGGTGTTTTTGATCCAAAAGCTCTTTTTTTATACATCAATTGTTATTCGTCTGTCCATATTTGTGGAGGGAAAAATAAATAAATGATCTGTTTGCTTGTGTTCATCTTCTCGGTCACTTCTACACACTTGTCAAAATAAGTAATTGGTGATGCACATAACATATGCTTGAACCTTTCAGAGTAAGAATTAACCGCAGTCAGATTGAATGTTTCACAACAATCGAAACGAGGGGAAAAGGAAGGGAACGTGCATCAACAAATTCGCCAATAAAATTGACAACTTATTCTGTTATTCGAGTGCATATACTTTGACATGGACAACGATCTGGACATCAATAGTCTGCCGTCAGACACCCAGAATCAATTGAAGCAACTGGAGCAGGAGCTGGCTGACGGTGACTTAACCGAGAAGGGTTTTGAGAAGAAGAGAAGAGAGCTTTTGGCTACATACTGGGAAACGGCTGCTGATACGGCTGCTCTACCACAAATAGAGGTTGCTGGCCCGTCAACAAGGCAGTCGATACCTCTCTCTTACAATCTTGCTCCATCAGTACAACCGTCTTATAAGCCATACCATCTATCTCATTCGGGGTCACTCCCAGTCATTTCAAATAATACACCTAACGTCTTAATAAGTAGATCAGGAAGTCCAGATGTTGACAGACTTCGGGTGCGTGATCACGGTTTAAGTTTGGATGCTTATACATCACCATCGGTCGAGTACACAACACCGTTAACACAATACTACCGGCCTCAGCATGACGGTTATGCGTCGCGCTCGTCTTCACCACAACCCCCACCACAACCCCCCCCTTTTGTCTCTCCAATGGGATCACCTCATCGATATAACCTCCTGCCGCCGCAAGGTCGATATCCCCACACGACTCAACCGCCCTATATACAAGTGCAACAGCGGCCACCACCACCACCACCACCACCACCACAGGCTTACTACCCTTCACATCCAGGAACTTCCTCGCATGGTTTTCAATATCAACCAGTCCAGGGTATCCAGGGTAGACCTCCACACATTGTTCAAGTTGATGTACAGACTGATCCTTCCAATGATTATATAGCTACTGGAAGAATAGCAGATAGATCAAATCCTCTTTATAGAATCAAGACCAACCAAAAGGATTATCGTGGTCGAGATTCAATCATGTCGGACACTTCGAGCGTACATACTAATGGCGCCACTGATGGTGAATTTTGTAAGTGTTGTATTGTTAGGGCGTAGTTGTCCTATATATTAGTGCCTGAAGTTTTACTAATATCATCGCGATTACGAATACAAGTGGCGAGATATCACGACGACAACGTATCCATTCGATCTGCTCGATCCAGCATTGTAGCACCTTCATATATCGGTCCAAAAATAGACGGTTACAGCGCAACAAATGAGAAAATCGGAAGAGGTTTGTCTTTGAATGAACATTTCCGTCTCAAGTTTGTTTGTTTCTTTTTCAACTAACGAATCCTTGTTATTTTGATCAAGGACTTTCGCATCGTGGTTCACTATATCACAAGCGACAAAGACGATTTTCACAAGTTTCATTGCCTTCATTGCCTCCATCACCTGATGCACCGATATATGACCCAGAACTTTCAAAACTTGCCGGACTACAATTTATGCCATTCGAACCACGTGGAGTGCCATTTAAAATATGTGACCCACTTGATCCAACAAAGCCAATGTTATCATTTCCGAACATTGCTTATGTCTTAAGGTATCGTGCATTGACGACACCAAAAAGGACAGCCTTTGTGTTGGTGGATCAGAAGGGGAAAGAGATTGTTGCGTGGTCATGGGAGAAAATATTTGCACGTGCAGAGAAATTAGCAATGACTTTAAATAAAGTAATCGGACAGAGGGAGAAAGATCGCGTAGCACTTATTTATCGTAAATCAGAAATAATGGATTTTATCGTAGCTCTTTATAGCTGTTTCATTGCTGGAAAAGTAGCTGTACCTATTAATGCAGCAGAACAATTTGAAGAGTTGACTTATATACTCGACAATACTCAATGTCGATTAGCATTAACAACTGATCACAATCTTAAAGTATTTGTAAGAGATTTGGCCGCTCAGAAAAAGGAATTACCCAGTCGTGTCGAATGGTTGAAGACAAACGATATTGGAGGTTATTACCCTAAGAAAAGGGAAGATCATATGCACATTAGCAATGCAGAGTGGGCATACATTGAATTTACAAAGAGTCCAAGCGGCGAGCTCAAAGGAGTCGTCATTAATCACAAGACAATAATGCAACAGTGTCTGGTAATGAGAGGAGCAATAGTTGAAAAGGAATTTCAAGCTAACATGGAAACCGTTGCGGATCCCTTAGCCTATGCAGGAAACAAACAGTCAGATGTGATGTTAACTTATTTAGATCCACGACAACAAGTTGGTTTAATATTAGGCGCATTATGGGGAGTTTATTGTGGGAACATGACGGTTTTCCTTGGGAGTCTTGCTCCAGATACGCCTGGACTATGGGTTAATTGTGTCTCTAGATATAAAGGTAATCGTTGACTTGCACCTACGAAAGGATGTATTATAAGGGGGAACACTCAATTCATACGTTAATTATTCTCTTCGAATGTTGTCCTATTCTAGTCACCATTGCTTTGGCCGATTATCCAGGTCTTCAACCTGTCGTTTCGTCTTTCAAGAATGATCCAGCTTCGACTGTAAATTTTTCAAAGAAATATCCAGCAGACTTGTCGTCTTTAAGACTGCTTCTTGTTGATACTTTGACTATTGACGTTGATAAGAATGATGAGATTGTTGACCGTCTTCTTAAACCTCTTGGTATCCAATATCCTCGAGACGTTCTTACTCCTCTAAATAGCTTATCTGAATACGGGGGAATGATCTTGTGTTTCGGAGATTTAATTGGTGTGGAAGGTTTGGACGAACGTTTGCGAGGCCAAAGACATACCCGAGAATTTTTGCTTGATCGCGAAGCATTAAGAAACAACAAGGTTGTAGTGGTCGCTTCAGGAGATGCCGTTCTTGCGAGAAGGAATGAGAAGGGGCTGATTCGAGTTGGAGCATTTGGTTTTGTCATGCCAGAAGGTAGTAAGAAATGTTGAGGTTAAAATGTAAATGTTTGGATTGGAGCTAACTGTATTTTTTCCATAGCAACTATTGCCATTGTTGACCCCGAGACATCAGCTTTTTGTCTCCCAAATACCGTAGGAGAAATTTGGGTTGACTCTCCTTGTCTGAGTGGCGGTTTCTGGCAACTTCGGCAAGATAATGAGTTGATCTTTCATGCAAGACCTCTGTTGGTTCCTGCGATGACCAAAATGCCCGAGCTATTCGAACAAAAATTTTTGAGATCTGGTCTTCTGGGGACACTCATTGAAGGACAGTTGGTTGGATTCGGCCTTTACGAGGATCGTATTAGACAGCTTGCCGAAGAACCAAAGTCTGATTCCGATGGATCTTATCCGGCTACTGAAGTTTGGAACTTTTTTTTCACAAAGGACTTGCAAAATATTGTCATGACCTCTGTTGGGATACGTGAATGGTAAGTCGATAATGGCAATGTGTGCTTGACACTTTTACAATCATTTGTTAAATGTTGCCTCGTGACGATTTTAGTGTGGCTACCGAAATTTATGTGAACGATGAGCATCTTCCTGTGCTGATTGCTGAATCATCGCTAGAGAAGGGAGCATTACCCGCTCTTGCTGATCAAATAATAAACACTTTGTATGTGCATCAAGGGCTCAGGTTATATTGTTGTATGATCTGTCCAGTAGACTCACTACCAAGAACGTGGAGAAATGGAAAGAAATTAGTGAATCCATTGCTTTGCAGAAAAGGATTAGAAGAAGGAAGGTTGAAAGTTTCGTATCTCAAGTTTAATTTAGAGAGATCCATAAAGAACATCCCCATGGGAGAAGATACTGTCGGAGGAATTTGGAGTGAGAGTGAGTAGTTATCGTAACTGTATGTCTCTTTTGTTTGTAATCGATTATTGTAAACTAATGCAAGGTACGTATAAACAGAGGCTACTAGCTCTAGACAAGTGGTAAATTATGGTCCAGCACCAAGACGACATCAATTTACCGGTATCGAGAATCCTGTGAGAATTGCAGATGATAAAACTCAAGTGGATTTACTAAAATTCTCGGACATTGTTAGCATCCTCATGTGGCGTACACAATTGGCACCAGATGAAGCAGCTTATATAACGGTCGATAGTCGCAGCCGTGAAGGGAAGGCAGTATCTTGGAAAAAATTTAACGCCAAGATTGTTACTATTGCCGCTCATTTACTAAAGAAAGGCTGTAATCAAGGCACACATGTGCTAGTTCTCCTTCCGCATGGACTCGAACTTGTAGCTACGGTATATGCGTGCATGGTTCTTGGAGTGATTGTAATACCATTGGCACCTCCAGACGTCAGTCGCGCTGCAGAAGACGTCATGGCTTTATTAAGTCTTGTTAACGACTTTAACATCAATTGGGTTTTGGTTAATAATGATAGCGAGAATTTACTGAGAAGTAAAAATATCCAAGCGTGTCTGAAGAATGCTGCAAGAAATGGTGTAAAACTACCTCCGCCGGTCAATGTATCAAAGGCTCCCAAATTGACAAAGACTTTGAAAGAGGCTCATCTAGCGATACGCCCCGAATGGTGCAAATCTGCACGCCCCGCTGTAGTCATGTGTTATCTCTCAGATGATATGAGGATATCTAGAGTTGGTCTTGGTCATGATACGCTAATGTCACTATGTCAAATCCAGAAACAGACATGTAATATGACCAGTGCAAGGGCCGTCGTCAGTTGTGACAAATGTTACACAGGCATTGGTTTTGTCCACACTTTTCTCTTGGGGGTTTTCATGGGTTAGTACATCGAACATACCCAGTGGATAGAATAGTCAAGATTCTTACGCAATTATCTGTCGATTTTAGGGTCTCCAACCGTTTTAATATCGCCCCAAGAATACTCTTCGAATCCAGCGATTTGGCTTGAATGTCTGAGTCGATTCAAAAGTAAGCTTTATAGGTTTATTAATCTCAACGTATCATAAATACGTGCTCAGGGTATTGTCCTGCACTTTACAATAGTCAGACTCGGATTTATAAAGCAAGTTTATGATAATAGCCTGCGCGACCCTGTTTGGTCGAATACCAATGCTATTTCGAGACAAGACACACTGAACCCTTGTTCTTTTATCATTTAGTCAAAGACACTTATGCCACCATAACCATGCTGGAACAACTTTTATCATTCTCCGAGACGACGGAACTCAGGAACCTTTCACTTGGACCTCTGAAGAATCTAATGATTCCTATTTGCGGACGGCCCAAGTCACCCAGGTGTTCAATCGACAATCGACCTGTACCTACAATCTGTATGTAAAGAATTTTTGTGCATGCATTACATAACTTCTACATACTAAGGCCATGTTTTTATAGATGAAAGGGTTGTGAAGGCCTTCATCGCTCAAAAATTGGATTATGTGGCTGTCAACTATGTTTACAGTCATGTGATCAACCCAATTGTGACGACCCGATCATATATGTGTGTAGAGCCAGTTGAGTTGTATTTAGACCTGAAAAGTCTCCGGCGTGGTATCGTAAAAGTCATAAGTCCTGCTGATGAACCGAACGGTGTACTCCTTCATGATTCGGGGATGGTATGTGATCACAGTTTATGTCTGGTATTTGAAGACAACAGGCTAATGTTTGTATATTGTGAAAGGTTCCTACTGCTACACAAGTTGTCATCGTACATCCGGAAACTCGTCGTCCATGTCTTAGCAACGAGTTTGGTGAGATATGGATCTCTTCGGAAGCAAACGGCAAATCTTTTTATGGTTCCTCCGACCCACTAGATAAAGATCGTCTCTCGGCGGTTGTGGAAGGTGGCGATCCACGACGGACATATGTTCGAACAGGCGACTTGGGATTTTTATATATAATACATAAACCTGTTGGGGATGGAGGAGCTTTGGTAGAATTTCAATGTCTCTATATTCTAGGACCTATTGCAGAAACTTTTGAGGTGCTAGGATTGATACACTTCCCTGCGGACGTAGAGTTTAGCGTTGAACGTTGTCTTGTTCAGCGATGCTATCAATCAGCGGCACGTGATAACTGGTAAGTATGTTATCTGTCAAAATATTTTGTGATGCTCTCTATAGTAACGTCTTTCTGCCTGTTAGTGTAATATTCCAAGCAAATGGGGAAACTGTATGTATTGTCGCGGTGCATCCTCCCGAGATAGCATTATCCATTGTTCCAGTCATCGTAGGTACCATACTGGAGGAACACGGATTCACAATAGATATAGTCGGTTTCGTTGCAAAAGACAGCATGCTTAAATCACGGTTTGGGGACAAGCAAAGACTCAAAATTTGCGCAGCGTGGCTCAACAAGTCTCTGTAAGTAAAAAATTTTTTTTGTTGTTGCCTAGTCAGTAATGAATTTAACTAACAACTTCTCGAATGTCTTGTTTTTTTTTGTAGTCCTGTGATTTGCGTTCATCAAGTCAAGAATAACGTTACATCCAAGTTAACAACCGAAAATCCTCCAACCACATCTCCACCCAACAACGTCATACCAACAAGAATTTCGGTTGTCCCCGAGGCGGAGCCAACTCCCTCGCAATTCGATACAGTAACACCGTCGGATATATTAACGGAAGTTGCTAATGAAAATGAAGATATTTACGCAACAAATCAGGAAGTTTACACTACGAATCATGAGGAAGTCTATACTACGAACCACGAGGAAATCGATACTGCAAACCAAGAGAATGTCAACCAATTCAATGCCAACGAACAACTATCAAACTCATTTGACTTTTCGACTTTCCAAGAAGCGTTACCGCAAGTGCCTATTGTTACATTCGACGGTGCAGATAGTTTAGAGTAGAATTATTAAGTAAATTAACACCCAATTTAATCTTCACGACCAAACAAATTTATCAGATAGCAATCTGAACACGAATAATAATAGCAGATCTTTGATCAATCTATTAATTTCCATTCATATAAAGACATTTAGTACATAGACGTAATTTTTAAATCTTTAATACAAAATTATTTATTTTTCAATATCGCTTCATTCTTTAATCATGTCTATCGTCGCGGTTATGACATTTCCATGCAATGATAGGACCATAAGTCGATTGACATATGATATCGGTCTTGCTCCCTATACAATCGAAACAACAGCAAGTAGCTCTTGCTCATACCTTGCAATAAAAATTTGTGATGTGCTGGATGACTTTTCAGCTAAACATCTCTGTGCTGATGCTACACGTTACAAATGCGACCATTTAGTGTAATGGGAATACGCTTGAACGCCGGATACACTTGGATGGCAAAGATATCCATGCCAGCTGTTCAAAAAATAGACTGGGGCTTTATATGGTAGAAATTAGTAAACAACAACAATAATATTAATATCAAGTAGTACACGTATGTATTACACTACCCTTGAAAAAGTATCCGGCCCAGCTAAAAAAAATTTAGCGCTCGATCCATTAAAATGTCGGCCAATTGTATCTGTGACAGTGCTTTTGGAATTTTTAAAATCCGAGCGATAGCTTCATGAGTCCTTCCAGCAATTCGCAAACCGATTACTTGTCCGCGTTCAAACTCGTTTAATTCACAAAAAAAAAGAAGAAGCAAAAATCAGAGGAGCTTAGGTTTTTGTTTGTTAAAACTGATATACAATATGCGTAGTTACACAAATATAAACATATTAATATACACATAATTGCCAAAACCAGGGGGTTTATTTAAAACAAAAATTTTGGTTAGTTAATATGTCCGATCTTAAGAAATTTAAAAAGAGCTTGGCCGGATACTTTTCCGAGGGTAGACTAAATTTCTGAGATGCAATGTCCGCGTTAATTGAATGCGAAAATAACCTTCTTAACCAAGTATATTCCGTGAACTGCCTCTACTTGTCAATTTCAATTACCTCTTTCTTGTCATTATTATTGTTATCAATTGAACTGGACGCGAAGAGATATTTGGTTAATAATAATTGAATAAGGTTCAAGGTGCTGATTTTCTTGTAATTGTCACGAAGTGAATTTAGAACACAAATTGGTTTAACTAATATGATGGTACGCTCGATAAACTACAGAAATGATTTATGTATGTTGGTTCTATATAAATTTAAACCGAAAAGGCATCATATATGAGGCCAACTTCGTTTTTATTATGTGGGGGTGACTTATGTAATGGTAATTAATGCTATCATACTTTAAACTGATTGTTGCACAATTACAATATCGTCTTTATTATTATTGTCTCGAAATGTAATATTTCGACAAGGAAAGAGTTTGAGTATTCAGCGCGTTTAGCATATTTCAAGCCCACATCTCTTTTTTGTATTCTTCAAAGAGTAGCCACAATTTCGTTTATTTCAAATAAATAATGGATATTACACACATAGTCGAAAAATCCCGTCGTCGACCGCAGAATTTTATGCATTAAGAGGAGTTATGCATTTAGAGGATAGTCACATGATATGGGGAAAATGCAATTGATTGGATATCTTTTTTCAATAAAGATTTACAATAAATTCTTTTACAAACCGATATAATAAAAAATTATTTTTTTCTTCTTTCCAATGACAAAAGCGACCCTGACAAATATTCAAAGACGTAAAATTTGCTTTAAAAACAGGATAATCCAAAAGGATCTTGTTGAATGGTGTTAAAAGTGAAAATCAATCAAGCAACAATATCTCGATTGCTAAAGCGATCATGTGAATTCTTGATACACGAGATGAATTGCACAAGCCCCTCCAGAAACGTGGCCGAAGTGCTAAACCCCCGTTGTTTCAGCAACAAAATCGCTTAGAAGTCAGGAAGGTAATTATTCAAAAGAGTTTGACAATATAATTGGCCGTGTGTTAGAAAGATTGAAGGTAAAAGCACAAAAGATTACTTTGTCGTAGAACAAGTGGGAGTGCAATCAATGAATGATTTAGGAGGTGGGTAATTACGTGTAATATTAAGCGGTATTAAATAAAAAAAAGCTTTAGAACTTTGATCACATTAGTATTATGTGACAGAAAATTGCAATGAAATTTGATCGCGCACATGCATTATTAATTTACTGCACCGTTATGTGATATATGCATGGAATACTATATCAATATATGATTTATAAATCGATTGCATATACATTCAAAGGGTGTATGCAATAACAGATAAGTCCGAACTCGGCATTTAGAGGAGTTTCACTGTATAAGCAAACCATATTATTGTGCCGAATTTCCCGTGTCTCCGCTCCATATCTATAGTGTCCCCCATTCCTGCCTTGTTTCTTTTATGCTATTGTCGGCATTATACGTGTAGAGTGCATAAGTCTAATTTGTAATTTATCTGCTAAACACAGTCGCTCACTACCAAATATGGGTTTAGCAACTGCATTATGCATTACCCAAATTTATGTATAAAAAAGACTTGTCCCTCGCTTGTTTTTTATCTTTATTGTCTTATTAAACACTTCATCTGCTATGAACGCGAACAACGAATCAACCTCCTCGGTCCCTCAATCTAAAGACGAAAAACAACCAAAACGAACCAATGTATTTGCACAGCCACATTTCAGAACAAGGTCCCGTTTGTCCTTTAGGGAATTTCAAAAATCGACAAATAATCCAACTACGCGTCAAGCGAAAACGTTTACTCCTCCGCTAAAAAGTCTTGGCAAAGATGTATTTATGCGTAATCCGGTTGCTATGAACAGTAACACGATAGAGACTAATCTACGTCATAACGATACGACATCGACACCCACACAGGACGTGCATCCTCAACAACAAGATATGGTTTCGGATACACATCATTTAGAATCTGAGACAGAAGATATCCAGATTATCGAACAAGAAGAGTTTCCTTCTTCAGAAAACAATTCCACAAAGACGAATACATCATTATGTGAATTAACCGAATCATTTGATAATGTGGATACTTCGCCCCAAGTTCGCCAAATTGCCCAAAGATTGTTCTCTCCAACTGCTCATCAGCAGCAACAAGCAGATGTTGTAACAACACGTAATTCCAATCTCAATATTACAAAATCCAATACATCAACTCCCCTCAATTCACCAACGCAATTACAAATAAAACTCGCAAATAAAGTTGACATCGAAATACCAATGGTTGAACAAACAAGCAACAACAGTCAAACTGATGATAAAATTAACGAATTCGACGTAATTATGAGTGCCGTGAATAAATTGAAAGACGAGATTACTGAAAAAAATGCTAAAGTCGAGAACCCGGTAAGACTACTTACATTGTCGCTATTTAAATGATGGTGTCGCTTGAAAATATTTGTTCTTTACGATTGATATGATTTTGGATCCCATACAATTGTAGCAATCAACGCTCGACCAACTTACCAGCATGCTGAGTGGCAGAGATCAAAGTCTCTCAATATTCAGCGAACGCATCAAAATTTTTGAAATACTTGTTAGACGGCAACAGTCGGATTCTGAGTGTACTCGCGAACGAATTGATCATATAAAATCAAAATATTCCCTATTTCGACACACACTTTCTCAGACAGTCAAGGATTTAGACGTAGTCATGAGTGAGAAGAAAAGAGTTGACGAAGACTTGCAACAGTTGAAATGCAGTACGAGCCAATTTCCTATGGTGTTATGATAATCTAAACCCAGACGCGTATTTATAATTTATTCACTTTTAATTAATTAGAATTCGACGCTCTGAACATGACACGCGAACTACTAATAGAAGACCACAAAAGCGTTCTGGCTGCCCGTAATTATTGTCATATTTCTATTTCTTATTTATTGTTATTATCCTGTCTTACCAAACTCATTAGAATGCTACTATCGATAGATCAAGAACAGCTTACCGGGATAACAACTCAGAATAAGAAATTATTGGACGAAAATAGAATTTTGCAGAGCGATAGCGATCGCCTGAAACGAAATCTTCTAATCATCACTGAGCATTTATCCCATCAGGCGGCAGAGCTTGAATCCTCTCACGCTCAGTTGAAAAAACTGCAGGAAGAGCGCGAGGCTGACAAAAGCAAGCACATGGAATGTGAAAAGCGGTATGCGTTAAAGAAATTTGGGAAATTTTGGGATTCAGGCTATGTTGTCAATTTTTGTACTCAGTTTCGCTCATATTATAGTGTCAACAAGCTGTCGTCCGATCTCCAGAATGCTAATCTTACTCTAGAAGCCTCACGCGAAGAGATTTCGCGTCTTGTAAGTGCTTGTATGGAGAAAGATAAGCGGTATGTCATAATGTCAAGATTTTATTGGTTGTACACATGGTCATTATGTCAAGGTTCTTAATACTTGTATGCTTCCACTACATAGGCTTCGAAATGATCGGGCAGAGGAATTACGACTGGAAACTGAACTACAGTTGTTAAGACAGCAACTGGACGAAGTCGTACAAGAAAAAGAATCAGAAAAGCACAGGTTTGATATTTACGTTTATGATGGATACTACCAACGTTTTTCACATGGACTAACAGTTCATGCAACATCAAATCATAGCGACTCCCGTTCGGCTATTGTTGAGAAAGCATCAGGTACCTTTCCAACTCCTAATCACTGTATCGATAAATTCTTTCTTACTTATGGGCCCAACTGGCACGTAATATTGTAGTGGCCGTCGGAACCTCTGACTGTCCAGACATGGATCTAGCAAGACAACATGCTTTAATGTTACAGATATTTGAGAGAAATTGTATGGACTATGATCTTCGTGAGCAAGACCTCCAAAGAAAATTAGATGAGAAAAAGGTTTGTGTTCATGTTTTATGATTGAACTTATTACATGTCTGTAGTATACAAAATTTTGACTAAACAACCGGTTATCTAATTTTTGACACCCGCAATAGGCTGAAGCGAGCAAGCTTGAATCTCAATTTAACAACTTGCAGCTTGAGTATGAGATTTTGCACCGAGAGCATGATAAGCTTTTGGTAGAACGTACCAGTGTTGATAGTAAGGTACGAACAATGTTACACAGTCAAAAGCCAAACAGTCAACTGAACTGACCGATTTCGATTCTTTTCACAGAGGGAATCAATTGAACAAACACTGAATAGAGCTGCTCAATATTATCAGGATTTGGCAAACCAAGCAGCTGTGAATCATAATAACGAGGTTTGCAAACGTGACAGTAAAATCCACGAATTAGAGTCGAGAGAATCTTCATTACGAGAAGAAATTGTAGGTTTTTTAAAAATGTGCTACGTCAATGTCAGGCCGAATATGCTGTGATTGACATGGATTTCTTCTTTAAAACTGCAGCAGACTTTGCAGAATACATTGGCTTCAATTACAGACAAAAGGAAGGAACTAGGCAATAATTCTGTAAGTTTTGTATCCACTATTTAATAACTTGGCAATAAAAAGCTAGTCATAATATTAATATTATTTCGAATTTTACTCGCAGACAAATCAAATTACTAGAACAGAAGTTCTCGATAGTTCGAATGACGGACAAGGCTTCCTAAGAGGCAATGAGATACCAGCCGGCGTTTTAGACAATCCTCAAATACCATTATCGTCTTCTTTATCTAATATAGACGAACGCCGCCTATCTGACGACAGTCAACAACCGAGGCTGAAACGTCGCAAGGTAAATCGCAAGACTGCTGGCATATTCTATACTTTTGACTACATATTGCTAATAATGATATAATGACATTGTTCGCCTGCAGACGGAACGTGACATTGATGACAACACCAATGATGACGATGATGACGTCTTTTCAGTAAAAAGCTCCACGCAGACAATTGAAATTACGAGCCCAGTTCAAATTTCAAACAGTGTCAAGTCACCCGCTCGCCAAACAAACAAGAAAAAAGCGAATACGGGCTATAGGACGCGTACCCGAAAATGACAGAACAGAGATATTGTGCATTTCCTACAACAATGATGAACATTTGCTGCGAACAACGTCTGACAAACTGTTGTGTATCCATAATGTATATTAAGATAATAGTCACTATATTAGTTGATCTCCGGATCCTCCTTGAGTAATCGTCCAATGAAATTAGATAATAATAAACATAAGCAGTAATGCGCTTGAGATAGAAAGATATTTATTCATTGCACTGCTTTTTTCCCTGTTGACATGATTTTATTTGTTCGAAAGAATTCACTGGCATATTGGACTCGACTTTTGTACACATATAATTCGTCCTGCTTTAGTAATAAATAGTTTAGATGTTTTATGTGGCATTACGCACTTGAATGTACTGGCATCAATTGACTAAAACTTCCGAGATGACGTCTGGAGACAATTGGAACGGATGCCATTCTTAAGAGAATGACTCTATTGTGGGGTAATAACCAATTAAACAATAACTTTGTTGCCTTCTTGTCATAGAGACGATTTTCCTCTTGAATGTGTGAATGAACAAATTGCACTACATAGTATTTAGCGATTCAATGATTAAACGGCTGCGGAGTGCAAGTTTAAACCAAATTTATTAACCATGATACAAAGTGCACCTATACATAATTAGCACCACCAATATAGACGAGACAGCACGTTATAGTCAACTCTCTTTATAAGGAAAAAGCAAAATCGTCCTTATAACCAAAGTAGTAGTGACTTGCTTCGTTTAATAATGGCAAAGCACAGGTGGTCACTATCAGCACAAAAAAGGTCGTATAACTGAAGCCAGGCTGAGGCACATAACTTCGGGTCACACAATTAATTTGTAGCATGGATAGGAAATAGAAAGACACTTCCAATTCAACATGGGTGTGTTCGGAAACTGGATAAATTATGCGACTACTGCTCAATTTATATTTTCTTTCACTGAACACAAAGTTTTCACTGTCAGCCGGGTATTATCCTGTCTATTGTTTTAGTCGCACTGCAATTGTAAAAATAGAATTCCCATATCACAAAGTTGCCTGCATATATTTTTATGTAATCAATAGGATGAATGAAGAGCACAGAACCAATGAAAAATATTTACAGCAATCAAATGACTAAATTGTAAATCCCAAACCTGCTCGTAATAATAACCATTATTAATATAAGATTATTATGACGTTATCGGCTGAATTCTGTTTAACAGTAATGGCAACATATTAATGTTAATATTGATTTGATCGATGTGCATATTAAATCAATCAATGCCCGATGAAAAGCGTTGAAGTTGACAGACAGCATCTTAACTTTCATTCTTCTGCCGGCCTCGTATTAGTATTTCTGATTTTGGAGTTTTGCGTTCCTTTATTAGTTACACCTACGATTGAACGCATAAAGGTGTTATTTTTGGTAATATAATATAATAGTATGATGGGTATTTTTAGTCAAGCGTTAATATTAATTTCGGATACCTTCAATTTTAGTTGATCCGGTAAGGATTCGTTCGGTAAACGTGTTTCTAATATTAAGGATGCTTTTCAGCTTTTCGCACGTACCGAGCTTGTTGGAATGTTTACCGAAAACGGCATTGCTATAGCCGGTGCTGTCATGCGAAGAGTTGGAATTTAAAATTGGATACAAAATGGAACTATTTGTGTTTCTGCTCATTGACGTATATATTCTCCCTTTTGTATGGTTTGTTTATCAACACTACCTTTACCAACATATAGAAGATAGACGAACAACCCACATATACATAAAATATGATACCAATATTGTTTGTAGCTCTGCTGGTAGCATGGATTTCCGTTGCTGAAGGTGAGAAGCCAAGATAAAGCCAAACATTAGCGAGAAGGATGGATGGCAGTTTCTGTCGTTGCAAGAATTTACGGCATAACGTTAATTATTATTCATATTTCCCAATAAGCCGCTATCCAATTCGATATGCTCGACATAGAGGGCTTAAACAGATTCAAAACAAAACACTTGAAAAATCCACACTTAGCACGCTCAACTATCGAAACACTACAAAAAAAGGCCAGATATGCTCTCGAAAACCCTCATCCATATTCAGTCATCAACTCTTCTATTACGGCTCCCAATGGTAACAAGCATGAATTCTATTCGTTGGCTGCATACTGGTGGCCAAATTGTAAGGGCATTGAGAACGTGCAAGACCCAGATAAAGAATGCCCGTATGTGCGAAAGGATGGCCAATGGGTTCCAGACATAAAAAAGGCAACTGATCCCGATGACTTTAACGAAATGACGGCGGACGTTACAACGCTAGCGGTTGCATATACAATATTTGGCGATGAAAAGTATGCAGAAAAGGCTGCTCACCTTTTGAACACTTGGTTCTTAAATCCCGACACATATATGAAACCTTCGGTAAACTTTGGTCAAGTTATACGTGGTAGAAATCATAATAATCAAGGCAGATCAGAAGGCATATTGGAATTAAGAACCTTAGTATACATCCCTCAAGCCCTCGCTCTGATCGAGAAATCACAAAATGTGGGCACAAATTTAACGAGTTCACTCAAATCATGGTTTAATCAATACTCCACTTGGTTGGTCACATCGTCTCTGGGCGTTAAAGAAAGGCGTCATCCCAATAACCACGGCACATTCTACATTGCCCAAACAGCAACATGTTTGCATTTCGCGGGCAGAAACGCCGAGGCACGCAACTTGATTAACGCCTTTGCTGACGGCTATTTCAAAGCGCAGATAAACAAGGAGGGAAAACAACCGCTAGAAGTTGCACGCACAAAAGTATATCATTACGAATGCTTCAATCTGATTGCATTGGTATATATCGCCCGTCTGTCGATAAAGCTGGATGCTACTAACTTGTGGGAAACCCAAACTAAATATGGTGTAACAATAAAAGCGGCCGTTGATCGCTTGGTTCAAGTCACCAATGAGCTCTTGGATGACATGAAGGTTGGGAAAGAACTAAAGGAAAAGCTGTATGCGTTTAGAACACCTCTGTATGCGGCTAGAGATTATTACGGTGATCCTGATGGAGAGTATGGAGCGCTTCTGGGCAAACTTCTCGAGCTGCCCGGTGGACCAATTGAATATTGGACACTGTGGAGTCCATATACGTTAGAAGGCCTTTCAGATGATACATACGAAACTTATGCAGAAGAATGGAATCTTATTGCAGATTCGATTGTCGATGAGAATAATACCGACACTTACAGTACAAGTGTGGAAAACCGGTCTGGTATATCGCCTGTCGTGATGCTTAATGGTGGAATACTTGCTGCCATTTTTATGGTTTGGTTGTCAAGGAAGCAGAAAAAAAGGTCGCTTGTACGTTTGCTGGCTATAATGGCTTGTCTGTGTGTTGTAGCTGCTTTTTATCATCTTATTCTTAACGGAATGTAGAATATTTCACACTCGCGAAACTGGACTTTTAAAATTTTTTTCTTCTTTGTATGTATGTATGTAGTAATAACGTAAATGAGTATTTCTAATTGGGCAAGTTAAACGTTCCTCACCATGTTTGGTTAGCAGCATATTGAAAATAACATAAACGGCTTAGCCCATCATATGGGGCATGCTGCAACAAAACCAGACAAAGTGAACATTTGATTATGTGACATAAATGAGAAGCTGTAGCTATAAAATTGACCAGTGTGACTGATGACATTTTGAAAAGTAATAATGGTGCTCATTCATAACTTATGGACTTGTTAATTTTAATGCTCACTTTATCATACCAGAATGTGATGAATATAAACTATAATGTGATTAATATAGGACTACCTCTATATAAAAATAAAATATATGAAACTAATTTACATCAAATCCACCATGGAACCAAAGAATTACAGCACAATTCGAAGCATTCTAAAGAAAGCTCAAGGAGAAAAAATTGCCCCATACATTTTTAAAATCAATAATACCCAAACACTCCAGCAATATCTAGATCAAGAAAAAATCACTTATGAAATCTATCAAGAAGAAAGAAAAATAAAAAACCATAAATGAATCTTAACCCCAACCAATAATGAACCAAGGAAGAAACGAAAACGGGAAGCATAAGCAATAGCTCTTTCTTTGATTACTATCAGTAATTTCCATTTACTACCCAAGTAAGAATAAATACGATAATTTTGGTTTGTTCCTGCCCCAAGCACTACAAATATGACACAATTCATGACCAACAAATCATTACCGTATTAGAGACAATGATAAAATGAATCACGAATAAATTTATTAGAAGGCGGTCGATCCAATCTTTAGAGACCGATGATGTGTTTGTTCATTTGTATAAAGACTGTTTGATCGACGCATCAACTGTTTCAGAATCCGTAACCGTAACCGTAACATAAAAGTATTTATAATCAGCAAGAACTCTGATCGGCACCTGATGAACTTATTATGAAATAACAAGACCCGCACTCGGTTTCGTCTTAGAAAAGTCAAATCGCAAAATCTTTCCAACATCAAATTGCCAATAATTTAACACATAAAAAAGCAAAAGAAATGTTTGATTTCACTATCATTTTTGGGTTGTTGATCAGACTTGTCTTCGGTCCTTTGCTCACGGCTAATCAACCCTATTACTATGTTATAACTCAAATGCTCAAAGCAACAATTCACCCAATCCCCAAACCAGACAACTGCTCTGTGAGCAAAAATATTTGCTAAATGTCAAATACTTGTGGAAAGGTTTTAAAATCTCTATCAAAAGACCTGAGCTGGACTCGGTTTTATTTAACAAAGTGGTTATAAAATGCCACAAATCACGTGAAAGAAAAAGCATCATTGCTTTTATTCTAAAAGGCCTTCACCAGCAAAAATTCTCGAGAAAAACAATCAAAGTGCTTAAAAGTTGGGTAGATAAAGAAAAGAAGGGAAATGTAGACATTAATAGCATTTATAATAATGTATAGCATCGAGTTCACTAGAGCAACCAAAGTATAGGGATACTCATAAATGGCTTTGGGTCCGAGTATTTCCTCCCATGCAATCGCTCTAGTGAATCTTCAAATATATACTTTGTTTTTTAAAGAATAATAAAGTCAATATGACAAAATACATGTATCAATTATCATAATGCACCTGCTTGTGTTAATCTTTTGAAAACTCGCAAATTGTCCCAAAAATGGTCTTCTAGTTAAACCATACATACATATGCAATTATATTTTCCCCAAGCCATAACTATGACACACAGTTATCAGATAAATGCATTGCAATCCAACATGACTAGTCAAATCGGTCATGACAGAAAAATCAGTCATCTATCCGATTTCGGCAAACTGGTTCCTCTGAACTGTTCATATTTGTTATGATGCCAAACTGAACGAGTTTATTATTATTTACATTGTTAGCAAAAGCAGATATTTATGATTGAGAAACACTTTCGTTTTCAAAAAGAAAAGCGAATTTCGACGTGATAAACTAATTTAACATAAGTTTAATTTGTGGAGAATCTGGCAGCCTTCGGACAAACTGCATTTGGGCAGTTGGGGTAGAGTTTTCGCTTTGGTATTTGTACTTCATGGCGAGTTTATTGACACAATCCTGTAAAATAGAAAATGCAATACTTAACAAATACCTTCACGACTATTAATGAAATTCACTTATTTACTTACTTCTAATTGTAAAAAATGAGAGAATGTATACTCAAACAATGGAATTGTAGGCTTGTCAATAACAAGCTTGGTAGTGAGAAACGTCCATGAACGATATAGCCCATCAAATTCAAGATCCATGTAATATGACTCTACTACATCACCTGAGTTATCTATTAGTTAGTAGTATATTATGCTGGTTGGTTATATGACAAAAAAAACGTGCGTTCGCGTTTTCTTTCTTTTACTTTGCGCTATTAAAAAAATTAGGCTTTGTATCTTCAAGGAATGAACAAAAAAAAACTCACATCTGCCTTATGATCTGCTTTTCTTTCCAGATACTCAGACCAGTCGTTGTCATATTCCCCCGTTTCCCATTTTTTCTTGAGTTCTAACAGCTTATTGGACCGACATTCTCGTGCCAAGGCGTCATTTAAGCGTAGCCTATAATCACGGTGTGCGGCGAATTTTTTACGATACTTGTACCTAATATAAAAGTTTAACGGACAGGGGTTGGGATTGCTCTGTAGGTACATAGTCTGCTCTTCGCGTACGTCTTTAACTCTCGTCATGGTCGAAAGTGAGCAGGAAAAATTTGTGATTCGGCAACATTTAGATGCCGATCGCACGTGAATTGGTCTCCTTCAAAATAATCGTAGGTTGCGATAATCAGCCGACAGTAGCAGCTGGAGAAAAAACTGAGCTTATTCGCTTGCCGTTATGCCGGATGTTTTCATATGAAAACGCACTCCCTACGCAAGCGTCTGCTAGGCATTAAGTTGAAGGTCGGGAAAAAACTGAGCTTATTCATCTGGATAAGCAGGGACGTTATTACCACTTGTCGGGAGTCCCTGCGAATGACTGCGCTCGCCCAGGTGGATACGCTTCAACACTAGCTGCACTTTTCTTAAAACACTTCCCCATACCGTGGCAATAGACGCTGGTCGACTGAAGGCATGTTATGATTGGACTTCTTTTTTTGAACGAAAAAATGAGAGGGTGTTGTTATTGTTCTGTATCTACAGGTAAATGGATATTGGATTTGCGTACAGATGCAGCACTACGGTTATATACATTCTGCCTCTTTTATCGAAAAGAGGTCTCTAAATGCGGGGAAAATAATCGCGATGTGCCTCACGACTTTTGATTGCTTGTTAAGTGATGGATGTTCTTGTAAGGACGTTTCTGGTACGTGCGAAGTTGCTGCCTTTTTTAAATGGAATTTTTCCAAAACTCGATTAATTATGGATGATGTCACGAGAACGTTCAAGCGGCCAGAGACCTGTTTTTACATCAAGGAAGGATTGCAAGTTTGCGCCAATTTGTTATTATATTTCATTCCTTCACCTTGGCACAATGGAGCGCTTTGGATACTTTTGTTTGTAGTTTGATATTATTGTAGATAATTATAGCATTGTCGTAGGTTGTCACTGAAAAAGGGATGGAACTAATCCTTCTGGCATGCCAAAAATAAAGGGTAAATGCATAAAGAAACTTGATTGCTACACACAAAAGTATTAAAATCTATATATAGGATTACCCGTATATGGAAAATTATAATTATAACGATAATGGTTCGACTGAATACGAAAAAGCAATACGTTTCTTAGAGGTAGGTTGCAATTGTGGTTGTTCAAAAAAGATTCCGAGAGAAAAATTTGCTGAATTACGTGAGGCGTTTCAAGCGCTCTCTAGATCTGAACAAGATGTATTTTTAATGGCCCAGTTGAAAGCAATGAATGGTGGAGAAATGACCGCCAGTCGACGTCTTAAAAAGAAAACGCGTAATAATAAGCGAACGTTTTACTACTGAGATCGCAATACACCGCTTTGCCAGAAAACGTATCTTAATATGTTAGGAATTGGTCGCACTCATTTCGAAAACGTCAGAAATCACCTAGTGACGGATGGTATAATACCGCGCGTTCATGGTAATGTAAAAAAAGTGCCGCGATGGAAAACCAAAATAACCATTGATATAACCGTTGCTACCGCTGTGAAAAATTTTCTCGAAAATTATGCGGAAATTCATGGATTACCAAGTCCTGGTAGAAACGTCAACCGAATTACTCAATCGCTTACACTTTTGCCAGCCGAAACGAGTTACAAATCGGTCTAT